TAGGGGCTGTGATCCCTGAATTATGTTGCTAGTAATTTTTCAGTGAAATGTGCTATATAACAATTAATAAGGCATCTAGATGGTTGCTAACTAACAAATTGGGTTGACAGTGCGACTGCATAGACAGTTAAAGAGTTGATAATTGATTAATTTGATTCTTGTTTGACCATTTTTATCAACTGTTGTTTCCCCACAGATATTGAAGGAGTTCCTTCATTATGCAGAAGCAGAAGTAAGGTCGTTGGCTTCACTCTATTCGGGGGTGGTATGTCCCAAAAGTCTAATGTACAGTAGATATTGTTGCATGCTCTGCTCTATCGTTGGTTGAGAACTTGCTCAGAATAAATAAATTATGTATTTCAGGGAAGAAACGTGGATGGCTTAATTCTCTACTTTGGTGAAGACCCTGCCAAGTGCCCTTTTGAACAAGGTATGTGTATCCTTCTCTGTAGCTCAATGTGAAACCATGTGTTCCAAAAGTTAATCTAACAAGTGGTTGTAAATTGCAGTGGTGTCGACTCTTCTAAACTTTGTAAGACTGTTCAATCGTGCGCATGAAGAAAACGGAAAACAACTCGAGGCAGAAGCTAAGAAAAATGCTGCTGAAAAGGAGAAACCAAAAACGGGTGGATTAGATAAAGAAATCAAGAAGCCCTTGGATGAAGAAGTTAAGGAGAAAACAAAAACAAGTGGATTAGGTAAAGAAATGAGTGAGCGACTAAAGGAAAGAACCGCTCCTTGAATAACCGGCTATACCGATTTCTTCCTAAGATGGAAATGGTCCAAGACAGGACGGGCTTTGAGAAGATAAGCACTCGGTGAAGGTGAGGCCGTGCTTAAAACTGGCTTTAGAGCATGGAACAACAGGAGTGGGATGTTAAGGACAACAATATTTTATCTTCTTTAACGGCAAAGCTAACTTGTAAAATAGGGAGGGGTATAAAATATTGTAATTAGAAAGCAATAAACATAAATACATCATTATACCACATGTTTGGTCAATCTCAATAAAGCAAATGTCACTTTATTTACCTCATTCACTTGTTTAAAACTGTGAAAGAGGCAAGAGGCTATTTTTGCATATAAATCTTCTTTTTTTCTCCTACCGGAGGGAAATTGTGATTTCATGCTTTTTAAATTCCCAAGTGAGCGAGTGTATTTTTCTATTGTTATCCAATTACTGCTACGGTGATTTGAGTATTGATATCTTTTCTTTCTTTTTGCAGCTTCACTATCTTGAGAGACCATTAGATGCAGGAAAACGTTGTGGAGAAGGTTAGTCACGAAAATAGAAACAGATAGAAAATAAGAATTGGTAGATTATCAAGATTCCAATTTCTGAGCTAATGAATACCCCTACACAACAAAGAAGGCTTCTTTGATCGTAGTGTGCATGTGTGTGTATATTTTATATATATATATATATATATATATATATATGTGTATGTATATTGCCGTAACGTATGATAAAAACATATAGCATAAGTGTCTCAACCAGAGGATTTCATATTACAAACTGTTGCATCAATCTTTATTTTAGGCAACACAGAGGACTCCCAAGGCCAACATTGCCAGCAAGGAAAGGCCGAGATTAGCAGTGATGGAAACGGTGCCTGAAGGAGGAGGGGGATGTGGCTGAGCTCCTCCAGTTGCATTGGAGGCAGCCAAGTTTGCAACTGGAGGCAGAGGCGGATCAATCACGTCTTTGGCATCAAGAGGTGGGTTTGGCGCACTAGCTGGTGGTTGTGCTTCCTTGTCTGCAACAGAGAGTAGAGCGCCAGCTTCCGCAGGTAAGATGGCATAGGGCTGGTCTTTGTTTAAATCTGAGCATGGACTCCCTGCATTTGCATCAAATATAATTGATCAGCCTTATCTTTGTAATGTGTATATATATTCTTGTAGAAGTTTTAACTTACTTAAGTATCTGGTTGCGGTGGCAGGGAACTCTGTGATTACTCCATCGACGCCACTCCCTGCAATGAATGTTGCAAGCTCTACCGTAGGATCAGAGAAGTAGTCGAACGCTATGGAGATGTACTCGTTTCTTAGGACCGAGACGTAAACAGAGATATTCGCTTTGTGCATTTCCTCTACCACGTTAGTTTTTCCTGTGGCAAAGCTTTGGGAGACGGTGACGAGGGAAGTTCTCATGAGATTGACAGCATCTGCGTACTTCTTGATTTCATCAACCGATGGCTTGGGAGCACCTCCGATTTCCTTTTCAATGCTCAAGACTCTGGTGTACGGAGGTACAGCCTCAAAACTGGCCAGAACTGAAGTGTCATCTGACTGAATCAAAACTTTCTGAGTTGATTGCTTGTCGAGTGTGGATTTGGCCAGAGCCGACTTAACTGCGTCTACGACTCCTAAGCCTTTCTTTGAGGCTAAATAAGCAGCATTCTGTCAACAAACAATGCGTTAGTGGAGCTGCCTTGAGTAAATTTAGGAGCATTTTGGGAGTTTAAAAAAGGCTTGCCTCGATGTTGATCAGAACTCCGGCGACTGCCTTTGCTTTGCTGAAGTCAAGAAATTCTGCGAGAGTTATGAACTTCCCGGCATTCTTGTTTGCTGGGTTTCTCTGGAAGCCCGTGGCAGTGAAGGGGCTCTCGATTTGTGCTGAAGACAAAGAAATCCCAATCTCAGTGACTTAGTTGAGAATGAGATAGTTCAGAAATCTAAATATAAGAGTCAGTTTCTTACGCTTCACAGACTGGATCTCGGCCCAGGTGAGATCAAAAGAGAAAATGCCGTTGGTAGGCTGGATCTCAGGAACGCTGGTGGCTCGGGACATGAAAGTAGTCATGGCGGTGGTACTTGCTGTGAGGTCTGCAGCATCATGGCAGAAAGCGATTCCGTCTTTGGACATCTGAACAGAGCAATCGATCACGTCTGCTCCCTCGTCGACTGCTTTCTGGTAAGCCAGATCTGTGCAGCCTGGATAGTCCCCGCTTGCTCCATTGTGAGTTATAACCAATGCATGCCCTGCTTTGGGGAGATTGCCCTTTTGGTGAGAAAGGCACGCTGCAAGAACACAAAAGAAAGAAAAAAAAAGAACACAAAAGTGTGGGCCGTTAGCGTCAGATATCTGACGATATATACATATATATATAAGTAGATAGCAAGTCATCTCACTGATGGATTGTGATGCTGTTGGCGGGAAATCGGTGATAACTCCATCAACAGAGAACTGGCCATTGTCCACAAACTGGAGATACTCAGCAGAGGGATCATAGCTGTAGTTGAAGCTGGTGCGCATGTCGTTGGCAAATCCAGAAGCATACACCTCTAGACCAGCTTTGTGGGCATCAGCCACAAAGGTGGTGGCGGGCTTAAGGTAGTTAGCTGAGTCAAGGGGCCAGATGTAGTCTTTGGGGACAAGAACGCCTGAAGCAAAGGCCTTGATTGCTGCGAGGTTCTGCTGAAGTTCGCTGTACTTCTTGTTTGTGGTGGGCTCAATCGCCTCGGGCTCTTTGAACTCGAAAATGAGCTTTGTCTTGGCCCTTCCTGCGTCCATCCCAATGCTCTTCAAGAAACCGATCTCTGGAGATGAGATGACATTAATGCCGCGGAATCGCAAGCTTCTCAGGTATTCGGCTGCGCTCAGCTTGTGTTCCATGTAGAAGGCATCGTACTGCACATTTGCATTGTTTGATTTTTTTTATGAATCAACAAGAATCCTCCCTATGCTGGTTAATCATGTTCTCAAAGAGATGAAGAGATACCTGAACGCTCAACCAGAACTTGGGAGGCTTGGTTCCGAGGACGTCCTCCACTGCGGAAACCGGCATTTGGCCGTCAAAGATGCTGGGCCGTGAGAAGATGTTCTGGACCACTGCTCAAGAATACAAAACATGAAAATGTGTGGTGGTGGAGAGCAATAAAGGGAGAAAAAAAGAAGTAGACATACAAGAGACATTGGAGAAGATGGTGTCGGCATCATAATCAAGGACAAACCAGCCCTTGAGGTCCTGACCATTGACCTTGTAGGTCTTCTGGGCTTTGGGGAAGAGCGAGGAGATGGTGGTTGCATTGTCAAGTCTGATATCTGACAAGCAAAGGCCCACACCGTCCTTAGTCATCTGAAGGTTGCACAACATTGTGAGGCCAGGCGAGCTGGTGCTAATAGCCATGTCGTTTGCAGGGGCGCTTGACTCAGGGAAAAGACCCGAGAAGCCGCCTCTGGCCACAACTGCAGGCTCTTGCCCTGGAAGACAAAAGACAAGTATGGATTCTTAGAAAGAAACAAACAACATGTTATGCAATATGGGCAGACTCTGTTTACTATACCACCAAGAAACAAAAAGATGTAATGTAAATGAATACTTACCGTTAAGGGTGAGCCATTTCTTGGTAGGAACAGCAGCGGCAGACGCAGGAGTCTTGGGGGCCGCAACACATAAGTGTATAAAAAGGGAGAAAAAGATGATAAACCTCAGCATCTCTGTTTAATAAATCCTGTTTGTAACACAAAGGAAAAACTATTATGAGACGCATAAGTTTAGATTTAAACAACAAAAAACGAAAGAGGCGAGAGAGACAAGTAAGGTGCTAGATCTCACAAGGAGAAAGCAAGAACATATGCCCCTTCCTCTTCTGCCTCCTAATGCTTCTTTTCCCGTAAGGGTTTGAGATTTTGAAAGAAATGATGAAGAAAAACGGAAGCTTGGGGCCAAAGAAAGAAGGGGTTTCAAAATTGGAATGAAGAAAAAGAAGTTAGTTAATTAATGGTAGGAAAGAAACTTGATCATCCCAATTATGGATCAAACAACCCATCCACACCTATTTTTATCTCTCCTTTCTCTCTTACCGCGTTTCTGTCGTTCATTGCATTAATCCTCCTCCCTTCATGAGACCTTGACGTATCAAAAAAGATATACTAAACTACTCCCTCATTTTTTTCACATACGTATATAAATTTTTTTACACGAACAAATATTAAAAATAATTTCTATATAATAATAAATAATTTATAAAAAAAATATATTTCTTTGTGGCCTAACCCTAAAAGCCTATCTTTACTTGCTTTAAAGACTCTCGGAATCTCTTACTCGTGTATAGATAAATACCAAACTTCCCTTTAACTAAAGTGTAGGCTTTTGTTTTCTCTGGCCTTCAACAACGATTCAACTCTGAGTATTCCAATTTAAAATCAATCGCCGGCGAACTCCTCTCCTCTCTACATCTATACATCGCATTGTCGCTCTCGCCTCCTCTGTCTTGTCTACTCTCTGCTCCGGTAACTCCTCTCTATCTTGCTTCTTCTATCTTTAGCTTCTTCTCTGTCTCCTCCTATAACATGCATCTCTGCTCGAACACTCTGTCTCTCGTCTACTCTCTCCTTGTTGTTTCAAGAGCTGTGTTTTCTTTCCAGTTTATATATCTTATGTTTGTATAGTTAGTAACAAAATCAGTCTCTCACCAACTGTGACTTTGTTTTTTGTCTCCCCATGATTCAGCTACGTTTCTGGTTATCCTGCCTGATTTCATGATTCAGAACCGTTGTCATGAAGATCACTGCCTTGCTCGTTCTCAAGTGCGATCCCGAAACTCCCGAACCAGTTATCCTGGCCAACGTCTCCGACCTCTCACAATTCGGAAAATTCAATTTCTATCGCTCTAACTTGGAAGAGTTCATTGTATTCATTGCCAGTACTGTCGCCAAACGAACCCCTCCTGGTCAGTGCCAATCCGTCAAACACGAAGGTTCTTCTTCTTTTTTTGGCTCTAAGATCTGTCAACAGTGTCCTGTTTTTAAATTTGTTATTGACATCCCTGTGTTGATGATATATAGAGTATAAAGTGCACGCTTACAACATAAATCCCCTCTGCGCCGTAGGATTCATGGACGACCATTATCCCGTTCGAAGTGCCTTTTCCCTTCTCAACCAGGTACCAGAAAATCCAAATTCTGGTTAATGTTCCTTCTTGTTTGAAGGAAAATATATTTTCTTTTGTTGACATTCTGTTTTTGACAGGTATTAGATGCGTACCGGAAGGATTTTGGTGACACATGGAGGTCTGCAAACTCTAGTCAGCCGTGGCCATACTTAAAAGAAGCTTTAGAAAAATTTCAGGTTCTCCACAGACTTTACTCCTGCCACTGTTTGGGCCTTTTTTGTATCTATAAATCTTGTTTAAAACTTTAGGAGCTATTTGCTGTGTCAATTACCGGATTCTTTTAATCCTATATGCATATCTTCAGGACCCGGCAGAAGCTGATAAGCTGTTGAAAATCCAGAGGGAATTGGATGAGACCAAGATTATCCTTGTAAGTGCCGTCCCCGGTTCTTGATTGTTGACGTAGTTGTCAAAAAAACTGACTTTTGTTTTATACTACAGCATAAAACCATTGATGGTGTCCTAGACCGAGGTGAAAAGCTGGACAGCTTAGTGGAGAAGAGCTCAGAGTTAAGCCTGGCATCGAAGGTAACATTCCACCCTAGTTTACTTTACTATTGTTTCTTTAGTGGATTCTGAGGGTAATGGGGGAGAGATGAAATATATAGTTTCTGACATGAGAATATTGGTTTTTGGTGTTTGGATGAAACAGATGTTTTACAAGCAAGCGAAGAAAACAAACTCTTGTTGTACACTTCTCTAAGCTGCAATGCAACTCTTGAATGTCCCTCTATATATAGAATGGTCTACCCTACTTGAACTGCTCTCTCTGTGCATTTATATTATCATATGTCAAGGAATGTCAAGTTTTAGTTTTTCATTTTTTGTTAAACATGACGTCGTCGCTTCTTATATAGGCGAAGCGAAGACGATGTTAGACGACGTTTTAGAAACTGATGTTAAAATATTCACGTCTCTTAAATACTGCGTTAAAAAATTCTACAAAATCGTGAAAGCATATGAGACTACTCCACTATACATGAGAAGAAGGAGAATTCAAGTAGTGTGGCCATTATGTTGCTACCGAGTTTGCCCAATTAATGACTACTTTACTTAATACTTACAATATTTATATATCAATGAAAGTTTTCTATTGTCTTTTCATCCTTAATTATGTTGGGTAATTGGATATCCTAAAGATTTTGTATCAGTATAGGTTCATTATATTCATAAGGTTTATGTCATGTTATCTCATCCAAAATTTTGAATATATTTTGTAGACATTAGTTGTAGACGAAGTGACTTGGTGAAGTCATTTTCTTATGTTCTGTCTTCCTCTCAAGTCTCAACCCAAAACTAATATATGTTGTGACGGGAACCACTATCTTCCAGTTCCAGATTGTAGTCAGATGGTAACGATATCAGGGACAAATACAATATGAAAATGATACGATTTGTTAACTTTAGGAACGAACGATGACATTATCTTATATTCATCATTGTAAAATGCTTTGGAATTGATTTGAAAAAGAATTTTTTTTTTACCAAAATAAACATTTTATCATATTATATTTAATTTATTTTCATTGTAATGAAATAAGAAAACGTGATGTCATTATAGTGACATCTTAATTGATAAGTATTTCATAGCACAAGATTTCATAAATAGTTAATTACTATATAAGATAAGTCTATGTAATAAAATGAAATCAATTAGTTCTGAAATCACCAAACCATATTATCTCAATATTTAATTTCAAGCTATTCATATTGTATAAGAAAAGTTATTTATATGACTACATTCAGTTCATGAAATAAAACATTTATTTTAAAAAGAAAAATAAATTTTAATCTTAAATTTATTTTCACTTCTAATTTTATTTATTTGGGCAAATATTCACTTCTAATTAATTAAAAACTCTCTTTTCCATGATGATAGTTTGGTAAAAGGATTTAATTTTGGAAGCTATATAAATTATTTACCATAGGCAGTAAATTCTATAGATATGAAATATAACAATAATCAAATTATTTTAAAAGATGTTAAACACATTTCAGTATATATATTTTGTTGTATTGTATTGCATAATGCATATTTTTACTATATTCATTTCAAAATCCTAAAAGCCTATCTTTACTTGCTTGTGTGTAAATACCAAACTCGGTTCAAACTTGACTTATAATTAAAGGTTTAGGCTTTTGTTTTCTCTGGTCCAGTTCAACGACGATTCAACTCCAACTGAAAATATATCGCCTGCGATCTCCTCTCCTCTCTGCATCTATACATCGTATTGTCGCTCTCGTCTCCTCTGTCTTGTTTACCCTCTGCTCCGGTAACTCCTCTCTATCTTGCTTCTTCTCTGCCTCCTATAATATATCTGCTCGAACACTCTGTATCTCGTTTACTCTCTCCTTCTTCTTTCAAAAGCTCTGTTTTCTTTATAGTTTCTATATCTTTTGTTTGTATAGTTAGTAACAAAATCAGTCTCTCACCAACTGTGTTTTTGTTTTTTGTCTCTCGATGATTCGGCTACGTTTTTAGCTCATAGTAAAAACTCATTGGTTCTGTTTTAGTGATCCAGAACCGTTGTTATGAAGATCACTGCCTTGCTCGTTCTCAAATGCGATCCCAAAACACCCAAACCAGTTATCCTGGCCAACGTTTCCAACCTCTTACAATTCGAAATATGCACTTTCTATCGCTCTAACTTGGAAGAGTTCATCGTATTCATTGCCCGTACTGTCGCCAAACGAACCCCTCCTGGTCAGTGCAACTCCGTCAAACACGAAGGTTCTTCTTCTCTTCTTTGTCCCTTTGATATTTCATCAGTGTCGTGTTTTTAAATTTGTTATTGACATCGTCATGTTGATATATAGAGTATAAAGTGCACGCTTACAACATAAATGGCCTCTGTGCCGTAGGATTCATGGACGACCATTATCCCGTTCGAAGTGCCTTTTCTCTTCTCGATCAGGTACTAGAAAATCCAAATTCTGGTTAATGTTCCTTCTTGTTTGAAGGAAAATATATTTTCTTTTGTTGACATTCTGTTTTTGACAGGTATTAGATGCGTACCAGAAGGATTTTGGTGACACATGGAGGTTTGCTGATAGGATGCGCCATATCAGTTTTAACATACTCACTCTGTTCGCTTCCTCAAGCGATCTTAACCCTAAACCGCCCTCATTTTTGGGAGTACATACCTCAGACCATGAGACTTTAGCTTTCCTGCTATTCAAAGAGGGGCCTGACCACAAGAAAGCGGAGCACATCTTATCTATCTCTTGAATAAAAGCTTTAGGGAGCCTAAATGCTGCAATCCAAAAGTTTGTGATGCTAAAGATTACTGATTTTAGCAACTGAAGTCTTCCAGCAAAGGAGAGAGTTCTCGCTGTCCATGAGCTTATGTTTGATCTTATTTTTTCCAACAGAGGAAGGTAATCCGAAGATGTAAAGAAAATTTTGCAGTTACGTAATTGTCAAGAACTGACTTTTGTTTTATATTACAGTATGAAACTACTGATGATGTCCTAGGAAGAGGTGAAGAGCTGGACAGCTTAGTGGAGAGGAGTACAAAGTTAAGCCTGGCATCTAAGGTAACATTCCACCCTAGTATACTTTACTTTTGTTTCTTTAGTGGATTCTGATGGTAATGGATCGGAAGATGGAGCCATGGAGGAAATAGTTTCTGACATGAGAAATTGGTTTGTTTTGGTGTTTGGATGAAACAGATGTTTTACAAGCAAGCGAAGAAAACAAACTCATGTTGTACAATTCTCTAAGCTGTAATGCAATTCTTGAATGTCCCTGCTATAGAATGGTCTAACCTACTTGAACTGCTTTCTATGTGCAATTTATATGAACATATCTCAAGGAATAAGTTGTTCCATGTCAAGTTTTTTTTGTTTTTTTTTGTTTTTATGTGGGAAGTAGATGAATGTTTTTGGTCATGTATTTTATGGAATAATGGAGAAGACGCACACGCGCATAGAAGGATAGATTTGAAGCACGAATGTCAAAATTGGGTAAACATATTACTTAGGTCAAAAGTCATTTAGTCCTCACCAAATGACCATTTTCATCTATAAGTAGTGTGTAGTCCTCCCATTTTGCACTCAAAGTTGGCCCACGGCTTATGAATGTTCGTGATGGTGAGTTTAGGGCATGGAAAGAGCTTGTAGTGTGACAGATTAATCAATGCCCCATTAGCGATAATGGAATCAGAAAAACAACAAATCGGTGAAAGATAATATACCACATGCCATTGATTAATTTAGATTAATTTGTAGTTTCATCCAAGAGATGCTAGCTAAGAATGACAGTCTCATCATATTGGGATAAACATTATATAAAGAAAATAGCATAATTAATATTTTGTTAACTAGTGAAGATATTGTATCGAAAAACATCCTATAAATTCACTGGTTTTGTGTATTTGATGTGTATTTGCGTACCATACTTTTGATGTACATTGATTGTATCGACTCTTGCATCCGATTTCATAGCAATAAATGAATTAGACGTTACAAAAGAAAATGACAACATGTCCGAGATTTTATTAGTCGAATCGAAACACTCTAAAACATTCAAATTTTCGTAAATGTTTGACCTGTTAACTATGTATGTTGATATGTATTTTGTTTTGCATACTTTTGATATAAGATGATTGTATCAACTCTTGTATTCGATTTTCGATGCAATCAATGAATTAGACGTTATACAAGAAAAAGACAAGCACTCCGAGATTTTTTTAGACGAATCTTGACACTCTAAACATTCAAATTTTCGTAACCGAACAAATATCGAATCTCGGATAATTTAATTCAACCGCTGCATTGGTTACAAATGTTTGAGTTTTGAATTTTGTCCTAAGGGGAATTGTGACTTTGTGATTAAAAAGCCTTGCATAAATCCGAAGAAGAAAAGTGAATGGGACTAGTACTACATTGAAAAACGAAAAGGCTCAAAACCGCTTTAAAAGGAAGGAACCCTCTCTAATATTTTTCGTATTAACTCTTACAGGGCCCACAACAGTTGCAATAGTCTTTCAAAATTCTTCTCTAATCTCACAAAAACCTCTCCGATCTCTCTCTCTCTCTCTCTCAGATCTCCATGGATCCCGCTTCTTCTTCCTCAAATCAGCGCAACCGAATCGTCTCTTCTGGTACACTCTTTTCCCCCTCATTTCTCTTTTCGTATCTCTTCGATTTCTATGAACAAAATCCCTCAATTGAACCCAAACCCTAGAGCATTATAGAGCCGTTAATGTTCGTTTCTACTTCTAACGAGATATGTTGACTTCTCGCAGGGGAAAGACCAGTGATGGCGGATAATGGCGTCCAACAGGTAATTCAATTCAATCTTCTTCGTCTCCTTCTCTTTTGAATTGTTGTAATTCGTTGTTCCTTTCACCACCAGCAGGTTTCTCACGAAAATGAAAGAAACATTGCTTCTTCTTCTTATTCTTCTTCTTCAATTGTTCCTTCTCCTGATCCCGCTCCTTACTATAACGTTCTTCAAACCCCTACCAATCTCTATCACTACGATTGGGATGTCGCACATTCTGGTAAATATTCGTCTTCTTCTCTCTTCGTATAATCAAACTAAGACTGTTAGTGCTCATTGCATTGTTGTGTGTTTTCTAGGTTACGCACAAGGCATCAATAGTTGGGATGGTTATCCACGATATGCTGCTACTACCCCTGAAGGCCTGCATGTCCCACCGGTTAGTATGACTTGCCCTATTTATGTTCTATCTTCCTCTTGCTACTTAATTAACTTAGTTATTCTTTGTTCTCAGGTTGTCTACAATGACAATTCATCTCTTGTGTACCAATATCCTGATTATGGATTCAACCCTTATCCTTCTATAATGTTGGAGGGCCAAATTCCAGTCTCTCCAGCTTATTACCCACCTTATGGTGCACCTTCTGCTATGCATTATATACCCTCAGATATTGACCCAACATCTGCTTATATGATTCCTTTTGGGCAATATGGTGGAGCCAATTATTCCGGGAATCAAGGGGACACCTCTTTAACATCTCATATACCTTATCCTCAAACGATGGGTATACTTGGGCCATATGACCATACTGCTTCACAGGTTCAGACTCTTTCTATCTGCCCCTTATGTTTTAACTTTTATGGGATGATATACAGAACCTTTGTTTGGGTTCGTTAGGCAAACATTTCTTATTAGGAAGAAAACTGTATAAAAGTGCCACCAGTTGTTGGTAACACTAGTTTTTTTGAGAATCCATACTGACACATTATGAATACATAGTACATACTGACACACAATCTAGAACAACCATGATATTTTCAATCTTTAGTTCGTTCTTTCCAATGGTTTTACCGTTTTTGAGAATGTAGGCTTATTTGGCATACCCCTTCAATTCAAATCAGTTCAAAGTTTTATGGGCTTCTCATATTTTTTTGGCATCTTCTATCAGGTACCGTTGCATGGGAGTGGGGTTGCTTCAAGCTCTTCTTTGGGAGGTTACTATCATGTAGGATCTTACCAGAGTCCCAACTCTATCTCCTCATATTATGGAGCTGATAATCGAGCCAGATTAACCCCCGACCTAGGTAAACGGCGAGAGAAGGAGCAGGGATCTGTATCTATGACCAATGATCTGTATGGTAACCGAGGACCAAGGGCATCCAGCAGGGTAAAGAGCAAAAACAGCTCTAAACTTTGCTCTACTACTGGTGATTCAACGAGTGATTCAAGTACAGCTGGACCAAATCCCAGTTTGTACAACAACCCAGAATTTGTGATAGATTACAAGAATGCCAAATTCTTTATCGTCAAGTCATTTAGTGAAGACAATGTCCACAGAAGTATCAAGTACAATGTCTGGGCTAGCACACCGCATGGCAACAAAAAATTAGATACTGCTTATCGGGATGCTGAGAAGATGGGTGGAAAGTGTCCAATCTTTCTGTTCTTTTCGGTATGGCTTTTTCACTGTCCAATCTTTCTGTTCCTTTCGGTATGGCTTTTTTTTTTATGTCGATGTAGTAGTATATATAGTTCCTGGGAATAACCAAAGGCGTAATTGATAAGTTCCTTTCTATAGCAATTGAAAGACAACCCTCAGTTGCTTTAAGGGAACAGTAAGCTTAACCAAACTATAAAATCTTGCAGGTAAATGCTAGTGGACAATTCTGTGGGGTGTCGGAAATGGTTGGACCTGTAGATTTTGAAAAGGATGCTGGTTACTGGCAGCAAGACAGGTGGAGTGGGCAGTTCCCAGTGAAATGGCATATTGTGAAAGATATACCGAATAACCGATTTTGTCATATTCTTTTACAAAACAATGACAACAAGCCGGTAACGCACAGCCGAGATTCTCAGGAGGTGGGCCTTACTCTTTTTGTTGCCTTACCCAGTGTTATCTTAAGATCATTTATTCACTGCTGTCTAGGTATCGGTGCCATAGTGGTATGTGTCTGTTTGCAAGTGTTAGGTATCATATACCCAGCTTTAATAGGGAAATCTTTGGATATGTGTATTAGGTCAAACGTTAATAGTTGTAGGAATTTGGAGGCTAAATATGAGGGACACGAAAGTTCTGCTTCATTAGTCTCCCAGGGAATTAGATTTATGGGTATGTAAGGTTTGGTAGATTAAAGCTTGCACTTGTTGCGTTGGGTTTTCTTTAGTGGGATATTAAGCAAAGCATGGAACAGAGAAGAGTAAGGCTTTTGTGGCAGGGAGAGAGATTTTGAACGCATTAATTGGATGTTGCATGGCATTAACAAACGAAAATTTTGGGTTTGTAATGAAGTGACTTAACCTATTGATGAATTGTAACAGGTGAAGCTACGTCAAGGGATTGAGATGCTTAGAATTTTCAAAGAATATGAGGCACACACATCAATCCTCGATGATTTCGGCTACTATGATGAGTTAGAGGGGCAAAAGGTGGGAGAAGATGGAACAAGGAAAGAAGCTGGGGAAGAAGAGACCTCCGTGGAGCAGTTATCAGAGCGTCTTCAAGCTGTCACAGTAGAAGATGGCAAGGAGGAAAAAGAAGAGTTAATAGCTGATTGATACAGTAATCGTAAGTAGAAGGAGACATTCTTTTTGGCAACAATAAGCAAATGGGGGTCGTCTGTTTTTCTTTTTGGGTGGGGGGATGTATACTAAAAAGCTAAGGATAAAAAATCCAATTCCTTGTAGGCTTGTAAGCAATTATGATTTAATTTTCTCTTGTAGCATTAGGTCGAAACGGCGACGTTTTAGGTTATAACAAAAAAAAGAAAGAATTGATGTCATGTTTCTTTGGATTTTAATCTCATCGCCCCCTGTGGTGGAATCAATTTCTACTTAGCCCCTGTTCTAAAATAAAATTATACAAGTGTTTATTTTAATTCGAAATATTAGTAAAAGACAATAATATTGAGGGTTTTCGACTTATTTACTGATTCAATCTATGTTTGGGTCAAATATCCAATAGTATTGGGCTTAATTTTGGATCTTTCTCTTATTTCTCAAACAAACCCTAATTCCCAAAAACGACAATCCTCCCTCCCACTCTCGCAATCCGTCGTTTTCTTTTTCTCTCTACCGGTGACTGAGATTTTCCGATTTCATACTCCACTCCTTCATCTTCTTCTTCCAAAATTTCGTTTTCTTCTTCGGGATCCTTTTCATCTTCTCATGTATATCTTGTTTCAGTCGATACCATCTTCTTCCTCTTTCCTCTTCACTCGTTTCTCCGTGAATCTGAGATAGCCACCGTGAATCCGAGAAATCCACCGTGAATCCGCGGTGAGAAATCTCTGTGTCTTCTCTTTGTAAAAATTCTTTTGTTTGATCCATATATTTCGATTGATCCAAGATATGGATTGATTGTGTTGTGTTGGGTATAATAATGGTGTGTTGGGTATAATAATGGTTTGATTTTGTTTGAAACAGATGGATTATGAATGGGTTTTCGATTGAATTTGTTTTTTTTTTTTCTTTTTCTTTGAGGGTTTAATAAGGATCCTTCGATTGATTGTGTTGTGTTGGGTTTAATTGGATTCCGGTTTAATTAAAGTTTGAAACAAGGTTTCTTTTGTTTGAGGGTGTTGGGTTTTGATGATTTATGGATGGATTGTGTTGGGGTTTGAGGAATTTGATTTGTGGATTGATTTTCAGATTTCAATTTGTCTTGTTTTCGGATTTGAATTTGTCCAAATGTTCGATCTTGAATTTCTCTATATATTTCGGATTTGAATTTTTCATTTAGATAGATACAAATAGTGTGTTTCGGATTTTTTGAAATTTGTTGAAAAATCCAAACTTTATCTCTTGAGATTATGTGAGTTTGTGTTTGTGTAAGTAGATAGATATTGAATTTGTATTTGTTGTTGCAGGTTGGTTTACAAAGGCTATTACCATAGGAGGAGCTTCTAGTTCTAGAAGTGAACCATCTTGTTCTAGAAGTGAACAATATGCCGAGCTTAGAAATCCCAAAAGACAAAGGCAATCGGATCCAAAGCATTCAGAGACAGCAGCTGCAGAGGATGATGTCATGGAAGATCAATGAGTCGAACCGTCTTTGGAGAATGTTTAGGTACAACTGGTACGATTAGGTATAACTATGTTTCTAGGTTTATGTTTTTTGATTATGTATGAATCTTATTATGGTCTCTGATGTTGATGTATAAATCTAAGTCTTACTTTATGAAAAAAGAAGAAGGAGAAAGAGCCTTATTCTGGTCTCTCATATTGATGTATAAATGTAAGTGTTTAGGTACAACTGGTACGATTAGGTACAACTATGTTTCTGGGTTTATGTTTTTTTTATTATGTATGAATCTTTGAATCTGATTCTAGTTATGTATGAATCTTTTAATCTGAATCTTAATATTTTTATGTATGAATCTATGTATTGAATAGAATCTAAGGGTTTTGAACCAAAATAAAAATAAAAAAATTCTAAATTAATCAAAAAATTTGACAAATATGTAGGTTTGTAAGGGTTTTGGAAAAAAAAAAAAAAAAGTGAATCTAGTTAATATTTTGGCATACCTGGCGCCGTTATTTTGAAAAAAGCTGACAAATGGTATACCCGGTGCCGTTATTTTGAAAACAATTATTAAATAATAGCTCAAATTTGTTCATAGTTGTACAGTTGTACTCGGTTGCACATTTTTGCTCATAGTTGTACAATATAGAAATTTTAGTAAATCTAGTTGTTATCAACTCTAATTTAATTTTTATTGGTGGAACTGATGGTATTGCCTCATAAAAATACCATTACTTTGTATCTGTGCATTTATATTTATCAAAATACAAGTATTTCAAAAATTTATAAAATTTTAGTTCAAATCTACAAAGTAACCATGAAAGTATAAGGTTGTTAGTGTATGAATGTGTGATTTTGAGTAAGAATTTCAGTATTTTTTTAAATATGAAATTTTTTGTCAAAAACTTGTTGTGTAGTTTCATTACCATCGTGTATGCATTAATGAAAAATAGATTAGAATTAGTGAAAGGGGTAGAGATAAACCCTAGCTTGTTTAATATTTTGAAACTAAAAGATTGGTGCAGCAAACAAAAAAAGCACAAAATTGTCAAAGATTAGAATTAGATGAAAGGTGTAGAGATAAACCCTAGCTTGTTTAATATTTTGATACTAAAAGATTGGTGCAGCATACAAAAAAGCATAAATTGATCAAACTAATAGATTATAGGTAGAACAGAACTAAACCCAACCCTTTTCCCCAATGGATAGCAAAAATGCTTCCGTCCGAAGCAAACTTTCAAATTCCACACCTAATTGGGGACGAAAAGGTGGATTCATAACAAAAACAGAGAATCGGGACATAAAAGATAGAAACTAATTAATTCTCGATCAGTTTAAATTGGATCCAAATTTGCATGCGTCAAGTCACGTAGTTGTTCCACACATCCAACTTGCAATGGAAAACACCATTAATATGTATGAAACAATCATGATAAATTTGAAAGTAAGAAATCGATATGAATAATAAATAAAACATTGATATCCAAAACAAAATTAAAACGTATCAAACAACTAAAATAAGAAGAAAAAAAAGAGAGATATAGATTAAAATTAGGTGACAAATCATTTCTTACGAAAATATCTAGAAAAAAAGGAAGCAAATATCCTTTTAGTTAAATTTACATTGTTGTTATCTAATCAAATAAAAAGAATAATTATTTGTAATATTTCTCTTTCTTATACGACATACTAAATAAGATTAAAGAAAAATAAACTATTATTCATACAAAAAAAAAAATCTATTAAAAAAGCCAAAAATCGTTTAACCTTTTTTGTATTAAAAAAAGTAAATATCTGAGATACAAATATCCATAATTCTCTGATGAATTCATCTCTTGATTAATTAAGAGAAACCTAAATACAAAAAAACAAATTTACGACACTATCATATTAAACAAATAACACAAAATAATACCCCAAAACTATTAAAAAATAATAATCGATGTATGCTTTACCTGTTTAGAAAGATGTACTCGATCGAATTGATTACATATCCTCAGTAATTAGAGGAAAACATTGAAATCCTAACGTAAATCACATATTCATAGCAAAAAGAAAATGGTAAATAAAAGATAGAAACTCACTTGTTGACCTATTCCAAATTATTATGCATCGTTTCACGTCGCCAATTAAATCTGTGTTCATCGGTAAATACTATTAATATTCAAACAGTGGCGAAAACAGTGAAACCATAACATAAATTATAGATTGATATAACAAAAATAAATAAATCAGTATATATAAATCTATAAGATCACCAATTTATCGGCCGAAATAGGATCCAAATTTTCATGCATCGATCGGTTCACAACGTAGCTTCCATGCATCCACCTACGATCATAAATAAAAACTATTAAAATTCCTATAACAAAAAAAAAAATCATTATATATAAATCTATAAGATCACCAATTTATCGGTCGAAATAGGATCCAAATTTTCATGCATCGATCGGTTCATAACGTAGCTTACATGCATCCACCTACAATCATAAATAAAAACCATTAAAACTCATATAAAACTATTGTAACAGTTTAAAACGCTATAGATTAATATGAGTTGGGACGAAAACCCCTATCAAGGTATTTATAGGAGCTGAGAGGCAGTGGAGAATATAGGGCTTTTAACAATTTTAAAGATTTAAAAATATCTAGAAATCCAGAAAAAGGAAATTTCTATTCTAAATAGACCAAGTCGGCATTATCAATACGATAAATTGTATATTCTAAATAGATTCGCCATTATCATAATGATTTAATTGTAATATTTCCTTTGTTCTCGACACTACGTTGACTTAAACTAAAGGTAGTATTCAAACCCACTAAATATGAATCTTTTGCCGTCGAAAGGTATTATCAAGCCAAGTAGATGGTCACGAAGCTAACATGAGATGGTGGTAACAGGATACAAAAATTAAGATCACAAACTGGTACGTAAACGATATGTAGAAATGTCTAGAGATTCATTTGATGTTAGGGTATCAGGTTCTTCAAGTAACCGGATGTTCTTGGTGGGACAGGATAGTATTGACGTCTTAAAGACATAACATGGGCAAGATACTATGAGAAGCTTGACTATTTGTAATATTTCTCTTTCTTATACGACATACTAAATAAGATTAAAGAAAAATAAACTATTATTCATACAAAAAAAAAAAATCTATTAAAAAAGCCAAAAATCGTTTAACCTTTTTTGTATTAAAAAAAGTAAATATCTGAGATACAAATATCCATAATTCTCTGATGAATTCATCTCTTGATTAATTAAGAGAAACCTAAATACAAAAAAACAAATTTACGACACTATTATATTAAACAAATAACACAAAATAATACCCCAAAACTATTAAAAAATAATAATCGATGTATGCTTTACCTGTTTAGAAAGATGTACTCGATCGAATTGATTACATATCCTCAGTAATTAGAGGAAAACATTGAAATCCTAACGTAAATCACATATTCATAGCAAAAAGAAAATGGTAAATAAAAGATAGAAACTCACTTGTTGACCTATTCCAAATTATTATGCATCGTTTCACGTCGCCAATTAAATCTGTGTTCATCGGTAAATACTATTAATATTCAAACAGTGGCGAAAACAGTGAAACCATAACATAAATTATAGATTGATATAACAAAAATAAATAAATCAGTATATATAAATCTATAAGATCACCAATTTATCGGCCGAAATAGGATCCAAATTTTCATGCATCGATCGGTTCACAACGTAGCTTCCATGCATCCACCTACGATCATAAATAAAAACTATTAAAATTCCTATAACAAAAAAAAAAATCATTATATATAAATCTATAAGATCACCAATTTATCGGTCGAAATAGGATCCAAATTTTCATGCATCGATCGGTTCATAACGTAGCTTACATGCATCCACCTACAATCATAAATAAAAACCATTAAAACTCATATAAAACTATTGTAACAGTTTAAAACGCTATAGATTAATATGAGTTGGGACGAAAACCCCTATCAAGGTATTTATAGGAGCTGAGAGGCAGTGGAGAATATAGGGCTTTTAACAATTTTAAAGATTTAAAAATATCTAGAAATCCAGAAAAAGGAAATTTCTATTCTAAATAGACCAAGTCGGCATTATCAATAGGATAAATTGTATATTCTAAATAGATTTGCCATTATCATAATGATTTAATTGTAATATTTCCTTTGTTCTCGACACTACGTTGACTTAAACTAAAGGTAGTATTCAAACCCACTAAATATGAATCTTTTGCCGTCGAAAGGTATTATCAAGCCAAGTAGATGGTCACGAAGCTAACATGAGATGGTGGTAACAGGATACAAAAATTAAGATCACAAACTGGTACGTAAACGATATGTAGAAATGTCTAGAGATTCATTTGATGTTAGGGTATCAGGTTCTTCAAGTAACCGGATGTTCTTGGTGGGACAGGATAGTATTGACGTCTTAAAGACATAACATGGGCAAGATACTATGAGAAGCTTGACTATTTGTAATATTTCTCTTTCTTATACGACATACTAAATAAGATTAAAGAAAAATAAACTATTATTCATACAAAAAAAAAAATCTATTAAAAAAGCCAAAAATCGTTTAACCTTTTTTGTATTAAAAAAAGTAAATATCTGAGATACAAATATCCATAATTCTCTGATGAATTCATCTCTTGATTAATTAAGAGAAACCTAAATACAAAAAAACAAATTTACGACACTATCATATTAAACAAATAACACAAAATAATACCCCAAAACTATTAAAAAATAATAATCGATGTATGCTTTACCTGTTTAGAAAGATGTACTCGATCGAATTGATTACATATCCTCAGTAATTAGAGGAAAACATTGAAATCCTAACGTAAATCACATATTCATAGCAAAAAGAAAATGGTAAATAAAAGATAGAAACTCACTTGTTGACCTATTCCAAATTATTATGCATCGTTTCACGTCGCCAATTAAATCTGTGTTCATCGGTAAATACTATTAATATTCAAACAGTGGCGAAAACAGTGAAACCATAACATAAATTATAGATTGATATAACAAAAATAAATAAATCAATATATATAAATCTATAAGATCACTAATTTATCGGCCGAAATAGGATCCAAATTTTCATGCATCGATCGGTTCACAACGTAGCTTCCATGCATCCACCTACGATCATAAATAAAAACTATTAAAATTCCTATAACAAAAAAAAAATCATTATATATAAATCTATAAGATCACCAATTTATCGGTCGAAATAGGATCCAAATTTTCATGCATCGATCGGTTCATAACGTAGCTTACATGCATCCACCTACGATCATAAATAAAAACCATTAAAACTCATATAAAACTATTGTAACAGTTTAAAACGCTATAGATTAATATGAGTTGGGACGAAAACCCCTATCAAGGTATTTATAGGAGCTGAGAGGCAGTGGAGAATATAGGGCTTTTAACAATTTTAAAGATTTAAAAATATCTAGAAATCCAGAAAAAAGAAATTTCTATTCTAAATAGACCAAGTCGGCATTATCAATACGATAAATTGTATATTCTAAATAGATTCGCCATTATCATAATGATTTAATTGTAATATTTCCTTTGTTCTCTAAATCTATATGTAAATATTCTTAAAGAGATATGGTCAACGGTGATATATGGTATTATCGCCATTCAGAAAAAAGTAAATAACCTTATATCTACTTTATTTTTATAATCTACGAATAAATATTATGGTAAAGTTACATAATTTCCAGTAGAATAATTAATTACGCAAAATCAAGGGTTCAACAAGAACCGAGAGTCCGACACGTCAGCAAAAACACTTCTTAAATATTGTGATTTATAGAAGATAAATTGGGAAGGAGAAGTGGTAGTCAGAAGAATAAAGAAGGGTTTTCCAAAAATTGAATCTTCCAAAGGGGCTAGAGAGATTAAAATCCTTTCTTCTTCCTTCTTTCGAAACAGAAAATTCAAGTCTGTTGTTCTTCTTCTCCAATGGCGTCTTCTTCTCTTGTCCGAATCGCTGTCGTCGGAGACATCGTAATATTTTAGTATCTTCTCTCTGTGTCTCTCACGCCTTCTTTCATCTTGTTGATTTATCTTATCTTTTTCTTCCCCTCTTAAAGCATGGCTTCTGGGATATAGATGAAGATCGAAAGGCTCTTCGAGTTCTCCAGGTCCTTTGATTCCCTTCCGTCTTTCTCCTGGTCTCTTTTCCTATTCACACGTTCCCTTGGCTTATGAACCCTAAATCCTCTTGCAGCCGCATCTGGTGCTCTTCACAGGCAGCTTCTCTGTTACTGACGACTAAAATTGTTTTCTTTTCGAATTTCTCTACTTCTCTCTTCAATCTACCTTTAATGATTTTGATTAAAGTCAGAAAATTTCAATCCAATCCAAATTCTGTCAGGTGATTTTGGTGAGGAAAACGTCCCGCTTGTTCAAAGCGTTGCCGCTCTTACTTTCCCTAAAGCAGTTATATTGGGAAATCATGATGCCTGGTTCACCCGTGACTTTCCAAGGTGTCTTGCCACTACCTAACCCTTCTCTGAATTACCGTCTTCTAGAAATTTTGGTCTTGTACTTTGATTTTTTGATCGTGGATTTCTATTTTCGTTTATGTTTCTTTCAGGAAACAAAAACAGAACGGTGTTCAAATGCAACTCGATATGTGAGTTTTTCCATTATATGACTCTCATGCTATATCAACAAATACCTATGATCTGTTACTGCTTTGAGGTTTATGTCCTTTGAATACCTCGCTTGTTGTCAATTTCACACTACCTATGGATTCTGCTGGTATTTTTGGGATGGTACTTGTAATGTAACACACTGCTGCAATGGTTGTTTCTATGTTCAGCTTTGTCTAGTATGTAATGAGCATCATGCCCAATCCCAAAGTTAAGTCGAATAGGTTTAACTCATCGATAATACCTCCATTCGAATACGTTCGTGAGACCCATGTCGGGGAAATAGATTTAGGGAGAGGGTTTATTGGTTTAACCCAAAGAATTGTTTTCTTTCGGTTTTCTTGATTTGTTTGCAAAAAAAAAAAAGGAGTTGGTTTTTCTGTTTGTGATCCCTTATCATTATTCCTGTAATTTTTGGTTTTGGTTTAGTGGACACAGATTCTAAAAAGTTTTCTTATGTTTCCCTCTGCAACTAACAGCCTTGGTGACGAGCACGTAGGATATCAACGCATGGACTTCCCCTCTTTTAAGCTCAGTATTGTTGGTGGTCGACCCTTTTCAATTGGAGGGGATCGATTGTTTCGGAAAAATCTGCTTGTCCAGAGGTTAGCATTTGACTTACATTGCAGGAATGCATCTCCTATATGAAGTATTTATTTGGTCAAAGTAGCTTTATTCTTGCTAAAAAGAGCCTAGGAATGAATCTAGGTTCAGAAAAGATGAGCTGCCTAGATCTTTGTATCGGTAACTGAAGAAAAATGAATTAACAGTTTAGTAAATCGGCAGCCCTTTCTATACTTAAAACAATTTGTGTTTGTTGGGTGAACTCTGTGAACGTACAACTGTACAAGTCAAGTAAAACTACCAGTCATTGACACTTTGATCTTTTTCTAGGTATGGAGTTCATGATATGGATGCCAGCGCTGGGAGTATTTGTCGAGCTGCACATGGAACACCGGAAGATCACGTGGCTATAATTCTTGCTCATAATGGGCCAACAGGTGAATCAACCTTTAAAGTTTTCTTATTGGTCTGGTCTTAGGCCAGTCTCAGGTTAAACATATAAGGATTAAGTAGTGTTTTTTTCTGTCTTGCAGGTCTTGGTTCTCAAGCAGAGGATATATGTGGAAAAGACTGGGTGGATGAAGCCGGTGACCATGGTGATCCAGGTGAGATGATTTGGCATCAGTAGCATTTCCCATGTTTTAGACTCCAAAGTGCTGATTGTAGTTAGTTTGGTGAAAACCCATTTTAATGTTTCAGATCTAGAGCAGGCGATACGACAGTTGAAGGAGACGACGAAGTTGTCGGTTCCTTTAGTAGTGTTTGGACACATGCATAAGGAGCTGCAACGGGGGAAAGGAAATCGGAAAATGGTAGTGCAAGATGGTGATAACCAGACTGTTTATGTGAACGGTGCAATAGTTCCAAGGGTTAAAGAGGCAAAGGAAAGAGGAGCAGCAGAGTCTGAGAGTGGTGGCACAACAAGAGCTTTCACATTGGTAGAGGTTTTAGATGGGAAAATCAAGAAAATTGCAGAAATTTGGGTACATGTTAATGGAAGTATGGCTAAGATTGTGGAGGAAAATACATTGTTTGAAGATGTAACCTTGATTTGACTAATCTTTTTTGAAGTTAAAACAATTAATTCCGGACAATACGGTAATTATACATTTGTCTTGGAGAACAAGTCCATTTTAGAAATTAATAAATTAAAAATAGAGGAAAAATAACTATTTACGGAATTATTTTGCTAAAAGAATTAGGGAAGAACAAAACGGAAACGAACCCTACTTGTTGTTCCTTCTTCATCGGTCTCCGGTCTGCGCCGTGTTTTGCGTCTCTCTCAAACTCCGATTCTCTATTTTCCGACCAACAGAGAGTAGCGACTGGTTCGTTTCTGTAAATTTCTGATATTTATCGCTTTTCTCTAGGGTTTTTCTAAGGTTTTACTTGGAATCCAAAAAGATGTTTATTGTGATGTTTAGCTAGTTATGGAATTGTTGGGTGGAGTTGATCGCAGTGACGTACAAGTAGCATACTTTCGAGTGCAGTGATGATTCTGAAGCAGCTGAAACAATTTACCTGTAACAAAGCTAAACCCTCTTTACTCATGTTTCCTTCCAATTTCTGAAACATTGTTGCTGAATATTTTTTTTTACCCTGATGTCATTTTGCAGTTTCTGCTACACGCAGAAATGTTGATGTTAAACGGCTTGCAAGGTTCTATGGCTCTCCTGCTGTTTGCGAATCTTTAACAACCTCTAAAGCTTACAAAAGACTCTCAAGAGATGATCGGCGAGCTTTGGTGGAGTCTTTTGTCAACGAGTAATTGTCTCTCCACCCGATTACTTTTCTCATATTCTGTTAAAGGTTCACATGTCAACTAGATAGCAATGTGTGTAGCTGAGGTATCTGAATCCCAAGGATCTGAACATAGGTACTGTTTGTATGCAGATACAGAGCAAATAATGCTGGTAGATTCCCTTCATTGAGTTCTACTCGCAAGGAAGTGGGGGGCTGTTATTACGTTGTCAGGGAAATCCTTCAAGAGCTGAAACTCAAACCAAAAGCACCTATGCCAATCGTAGCTAAAGCCCTCTCAGAAGTCTCTCCTTCTGTACCATGTGATGCTTCCTCACACTTTTCTCCAGCACCTGTGCCAATCGTAGCTAAACCCCTCTCAGAAGTCCCTCCTTCTGTACCAGATGATGCTTCCTCACACTTCTCTCCTGTGGTTGTTGAACCTGAGATTCAAGTAAAAATATCTTCCTTTGGTGTGATCAGTTTAGTTTCCTTATGCTGCACTTATCACTTGGCTCAGTTATCCTTGACTCTGTGTTACAGGCTGGCAGTCTGGGTATTGAGACAGTAAATGAGCAGAAGCAGGATATAATAGATACTTCTCACTCTAATTCTGATGATGAAAGTAATCTCCAGGGAAACAACCTTGTCATTTCTGCAACAGATGACAAAAGAGAAACAGAGACAACTCAGAGAATAGAAGTAGAGGTATGTCTAAAAAACTCAGAGACTGAGGAAGAGGGAAACTTGACGCACATAGGTAATCAAGAGTCAAAAGCAGACCATCTTGGAGGAGCTGCTGGAACCGGTGACAAAAGACAAACAGAGACAACTCAGGGAATAGAAGTAGATGTATGTTCAAACAACTCAGAGACTAAGGAAGAGGGAAACTTGACGCACTTAGGTAATCAAGAGTCAAAAGCAGACCATCTTGAAGGAGCTGTTGCAACAGATGAAAAAAGAGAAACAGATACAACTCAGGGAATACAAGTAGATATATCTTTAAAAAACTCAGAGACTGAGAAGGAGGGAAACTTGACGCACTTAGGTAATCAAGGGTCAAAAGCAGACCATCTTGAAGGAGCTGCTGTTTCAGCAGATGTTGTGCCTACTGAGACCAGGTATCTTGTGCATACAACTAGGTCTCTCCTTAACTGGTCCGATCCTTATATTAGGATAATTTTGTTCATTGATGGATCTCTTGTTTTTGAGTAATAGAAAAAGTCATTCAACTCCAGTTTGAATTCTTATATCTTGTGTTTTTACAGACAAGTTTCAGAGGCAGGAGCCGGTGAGGCGAAAGAGACGGAAGCTGGTGAGGTGAAAGAAAGGTCAAGTGCGTGGAGCAACATAATGTCATTTGCAAAAGAATTTACGAACTTTTGGAGAAAAATGTAGATATAGCCGGGGAGCTTTAGATACGCTCTGAAGGGGGTAGGTAGAGGTGTGTGAAGTACACTAGTAGAGGTGTGTGAAGTACACTAGTAGAGGTTGTTTTGATTTGACCATTTTGCGCAAAGGTTTGGTATCTCCCAAGATGTCTTAAATCTATACTATTATTGTCCTGCTGGCAATGAGTCTATAGATTAAAACACAACAATTTTAGAGGCTAGTTTTGTGATTGACCATTTTGTACAAACGTTTAGAATCTCCCAAGATATTTAACATGGTAATCAATACAATTATTGGAGCTCACAATGAGTATGGATCAAAGCTCGTAGTTTCGCTCATTCATTGGTTGTTTAAGAGAAGTACAAATCCAAAGAAATACTATTTTGATACATGTTCCAGTAGTTGTACAACCAAAACCAAATGTGTTGGACACTGGAGGGAGCAGACAGCAGTAGCACAGCTCTTCTAGCTCCCACGGTATGTGGTGAAAGAAAATGGTGAAAGCAACAGTGGGACATGGAAATGCTCCCATTTCTGAGATTCGGTAACCTGAAATACAATCGAAACATAGGGAAAGAAGCAGCCTGGGCAATACTTTGCAGTGTTGAAGCTTATTCTATATGTCCCTGGGTTCAAAGCCTCAACCAAATCCATCAGTGGCCCACTGCGCCCATCTTTATCAGTAACTGAGGTGCCCACACTGGACCAGACACCACCACCTCCATGACCAAAGGAAGGACCGGTAGTACCACTCCACACTTCTAAGTGCACTTCGACACCTGTAGCTGGAGCACCACATGAGACGTCTAAGACATGAGTCGTGATTGGTGGTCTACTTCTCTTGGGAGATTTTGCTTCAGCTGCAACATTCAAATGCCCTCCAATGATTCTCAAACGATCTTCCAAAGTGGGAAAGTAGAAAAGGTCACACAGATAACAAAGATAGCCATGAAGGTACATGCTTGTATTCCAACAGACACATACTTGATATCATACTGAATCCTAAGAGGTTCAAACCCACACAGTCACACACAAAACTTTGACAAGGAAAGGATTTGATAAATCACCAATATACCTTGAGGTTTTGTTGAAATAGGAGAGCTAGAGCTGTCAGTTTCGGATACAACTCTAGCCTTATCGGAGTAGAGCTTAGCAATTCGTAGCTCTGTTATTTTCATTTGTTCCATAGCAGCAACCTCAAGCTCCACTATCGGCCTATTTTCATACCTTTCCTGAAACAGAGACGATTTGATGAATAAGTAACTGTCTCATCAGTCATCACTCACACTCAACAAAAACTAAATTGGAAATGCAAAGTTGACCTTTAACTCATGGAGCATCTCAGCATGAGTCCTACCAGAGGCGCAGATAATGAATATAAAGCCAAACTTTTGTTTGTAGCGTACATTCCAATCGGCAAGCTCCTACGAAATCGATGCAAATGGATCATCAGAAGAAGAAATTACTGAAGAAACGAAAAGGAAATGTGGAGATCCATCACCTGTAAAGCAGAAGCAGAAGTTGTGGCAAAGGCGGTTGACTGTTCTGATACGCTCCGACGAGCAAAATCGGAGTTGATAGAAGGTGAAGGAGTATTCCCAATCTGAGGATGAGCAGAGAAAGCTTCAAGCCAATCTGTCACATTAACTAGGTTGAACCAGGTGTCTCTGGCAGTCCAGATTGCTTCTTCTGAAGTTAACGGACCAGACATCTCCATCAGCTTCGCGAATTCGGAGCTTCCACAGCAAACCTTCCATTCGTCTTCTCCGATCTCCATCGCCATTTTTCTCTCTCTTTTCTCCAATCCTCACTTCTGTTGACTGCTGAGTAAGCTGAAAAGTCAATTAACTGGGCCTTTTTTAATAATGGGCCTTTTGAAAATTGGGCCTTTATCTATCTTCTTCCTTTTTTATTCATCATCTTCTTCTATAAGTGAATTATACAGAAACGGAAGCGAGAAGTTCCGACAATTTGTACACAAAAGAGATCTGTTTTAGGGTTTTGCTTTGTTCTTGTGGCGGGAATAACAAAGACATCGCCGAGATGGGGAAAGACGAAGAGGAAATGCGAGGTGAGATTGAGGAGCGACTAATCAATGAAGAGTACAAGATCTGGAAGAAGAACACTCCTTTCCTCTACGATCTCATTATTACTCACGCTCTCGAGTGGCCTTCACTTACTGTTGAATGGCTTCCTGACCGTGAAGAACCTTCCGGCAAAGACTACTCCGTTCAGAAGATGATTCTCGGTACCCATACCTCCGAGAACGAGCCTAATTACTTGATGCTAGCACAAGTTCAGCTTCCTCTTGACGATACAGAGAGTGAAGCTCGTCAGTACGATGATGACCGCTCTGAATTTGGTGGCTTTGGCTGTGCAACTGGAAAGGTGTGATTTTTATTTTGTTTCTCATTTCCAAGTTTCTGGTTTTTGATTCTAGGGTTCAAACGAGTTAAAGGATGATAAATGTTGGTTGATTGCTTGTGTAGGTGCAAATTATCCAGCAGATAAATCATGATGGCGAGGTTAATCGAGCTCGGTACATGCCTCAAAATCCATTCATAATTGCTACCAAGACAGTAAATGCGGAGGTCTATGTTTTCGATTACAGTAAGCATCCATCTAAGCCCCCTCTTGATGGGGCTTGTAATCCTGATTTAAAGCTTAGAGGTCACAGTTCTGAGGGATATGGTCTCTCTTGGAGTAAGTTCAAGCAGGGTCATTTGCTCAGCGGCTCTGATGATGCTCAGATCTGCTTGTGGGATATTAACGCTACTCCTAAAAACAAATCCCTTGACGCTCAGCAGATCTTTAAGGTAATGCTTGGATTTCTATCCGTCTTGATTATTGCTTTGCATCATTTAGAAAGGCAAGCAATTGCACCCACTTAGCGGAATCAGTTACACCCATGAAAGCATATAGATAGAAATTCAGTTTGGTTTCTGTGTTTTCCTTGCTGATGATTATTTTCTGAACTTAAGGCTCATGAAGGCGTTGTGGAAGATGTTGCATGGCATCTGAGACATGAATACCTGTTTGGATCCGTTGGAGATGACCAATACCTTCTTATATGGGATCTTCGTTCTCCTTCTGCCAGTAAACCAGTACAGTCTGTGGTTGCTCATTCGATGGAGGTGCGTTTGCAATATATTGGCTTTAAATATAGATAAAACTTTTGGTACTTAAGCTTGTCTTTTGGTTAACTAGCTTGTTTTCCTAAACACTAAAAACCATTGAATCGTATTACCTCGTATATATTTGCTAATTGTTGGGTTGTTTGAAATGCCTCAGGTTAACTGCTTAGCCTTCAATCCATTTAATGAGTGGGTTGTGGCAACAGGATCAACTGACAAGACTGTTAAATTATTCGATCTACGGAAGCTAAGCACTGCTCTTCACACATTTGATAGCCACAAGTAAGAATGATACGTCATAAATATTGCCGCTTTGAGATGGATTCTGTGTTACTAAGAAGTATTTACAAGTTAAAGAAACATCACTAACCTAAATTATGTGCTTTGATCTCCAGAGAGGAGGTTTTCCAAGTTGGTTGGAACCCAAAGAACGAGACTATCTTAGCCTCATGTTGCCTTGGTAGAAGACTTATGGTTTGGGACCTTAGCAGGTTTGGCCCATAGACTTAGTTCTTTAGTTATATAATGTTCATGTATGGTCATGGAGGAGCAATATTGATATGTTTGAGGGTGTCTTATGATAGGATCGATGAGGAGCAGACACTGGAGGATGCAGAGGACGGCCCACCTGAGCTGCTGTTTATTCACGGTGGTCACACTAGCAAAATTTCAGATTTCTCTTGGAATCCTTGCGAAGATTGGGTAATTTCCAGTGTTGCTGAGGACAACATACTCCAAATATGGCAAATGGCTGAGAACATCTATCATGATGAGGATGACGCTCCAGGTCCAGGGGAAGAACCATCAAAAGCTTCTTAGCTTATTATTTAGTATCTAAAGCGAGCTGATCTTATGGGACAGTATTTTATACATCTATGGTTTTGATCAGTTCGAGTATTTAGTGTTCATTGTGTAAAATGAGGCATGAGATGATGGTCGCAAGTGGTTTTCTTTTTCTTTAAAACTTGAAAGAGTTGATTCAAATGTCACTAAGAAGTGCCAACCAATACAATAACGCTTAGTTTTATGCGCAGATTTGACGACATTAGAAAGAGATTACATATTTGAATCCAAGTCTCAGACATAAAACCTCAAACTGAGAGTCACATGTCACAACGGTCTTATTAAAGGTACTGGATAGCTTGGTTTGATATTGATTGAGAAATGATAACTAGCAATCGAAAAGAGATCTGTATTGGGAAGCCTCGTCAGCCATCTCCTGAATGCCCCTATCAACCCGGTCTTTATCTAGATCAAGCTTCTGCTTCAGTTCCTTCTCCTTGTCATCAAGCTACAACAAGATACCACCATAAGAATATTATAAAACCAAAGCTAGGAATGTGATCAAAATGCAGCAACTTACAGCATCATAGATTTCATCATTCTTCTCAAAGTCACCACCTTTACGAGGCAAGATGTGAATGTGTACATGGGGAACAGTCTGTCCCGCTTGAGGGCCATCCTAAACCATTTTCATGAAACCAAAGTTAGATGGTTTTAGTTCAATCATTCCAATTCCAATCCTTTCAGATTCAGACAAAAGAAAGAATGAATTGAAAGAAAGAATGGAGATGTTTAGTTACTTGGATAGCTAATGTGAGAGAAGACGCATTATGGAAGTTCTCAAGCTTAGAGCCAACTTTCTGAGCAGTAAGCCACAGATCACTGGTCTCATCAGCTGTAAGATCTGTAAATCGTGGCACAAGGCGTCTCGGGCAGACAAGAACATGTGCTCTTGTGGTCAAGTCATCCAAAGGAACTCAAATTACAAAACAAAACCATAGTGAAGAAAGCGAAAAAAAAGGATATGACCTGCAAAAAAATAGGTGTAAAAGAAGGTCAGAAGAACTCAGAAGAATGAAAAAGAAGAATGATTGGAGAGGAATGAGGCATACCAGGAAGAAGCGGACGGAGATTAACCATGGCATAAGAGAGAGGCGTTGCGTAGAACACTTCACGCGGATCGATTTTGTAAGGTCCAAATGCGTACGAAGAACAAGTAGACATCTGCATCAATCAAAACACTCAAAAATCAATCCTTTAAACTTGTAAAGTAGAGACAAAATGGTGGATCGTGTAAGAACTTGCCTTTCTCTGACAACGAATACTGGACAAGATCGTCTTCCCGGTTACTTGCAGCTTCAGCATCTCAGCTCCGCCTCCATCGCCATGGAAGTCACAGTTAACACCTTTGCCTTTTCTTTCTTTTGGGTTATAATTGGCCCATCACGACCTATTGGGCCATTACTGAAGCCCAAATAACAAAATCAATAAAAAATTGAGTTCAGAGAAAGGACGATAATAATGGATGAGCCCCGGCAAAAAAGATAAGATTTTTACAGATTCTGCCTCGGAGGATCAAAAGACTCAAATCAGCAATGTGGAGCGTCACCGGAGCATTGACTGTGGCGGTGCCGCCTACCGCCGCCGCTTGCCGTCCGAAACCCTTTTTCGTCTCCTCTTCCTTTCCCAAGCAGACAAAGAAACTCCATCTCTCTCCGCCGTCTCTGTCTCTACCATCATCACATTTCTCCTCCTCTTTCAAAACCGCAGCTACCTCCATCGAGCAACAGTCGGATAACAAGGTTCCTCTTTTTTTTCTCCTCTCGACCAATCAAACCAAACCCAACAACAGCTTACGTTTTGTGGATGATTGCAGGGAGAGAGCATCAAGTACCATTTCGTGGTAGCAAACGCTAAATTCATGCTTGACGAAGAGGAACACTTCCAGGAGCAATTGTTTGAACGTCTCCGTTATTACGGTGAGCGTGACTTAGTGCAAGACTTCTGGCTTGTGATTGAGCCCAAATTCCTTGACAATTTCCCCAAAATTACTCAAAGACTTCGTCGTCCTGCTGTTGCTCTTGTTTCCACCAATGGCTCCTGGATCACGTTAGGACCCTAATCCCAAATTTCTCTCTTTTACAAAATTACGTTCATCCTTACTAAAGCATTTGAGTTTTGCATTTTTGTTGTTTTATGGCAGGTTTATGAAGTTAAGATTGGATCGTGTTCTATATGATTCCTTTGAAGCTACCTCGCTTGGTGAAGCTTTGGCCTCCAATCCTACTACTCTAGAGTTCGACAAGCCTAAAAATTGGGTGGCGCCATACCCCAAGTATGAACCTGGATGGTGGGATACCTTCTTGCCCAAAGTAACCCAAGAATCTGCAGTATAGAACTTTGCCTTTTGTCTTGTTTTGCATTCTCCAATCTCAGCTTTGTCTTAGTGTATCAAAGTTTTGTATTACTGAGCTTATTATCCAAGTCGATGTCTTTGTTAGTGTAGCTTCTACTTTAAAGTTGCCTGCTTGATACGCAACTGACTCAAGGTTAAGCATAGAACTTGACATCAGAAAGCATCTTCACATGAAGCTCCATCAAAGTTTTAAGGGTGACATATATGTAGATTTCCCAATATTGGCAAGAATCTTAACTCTTAAGGGTAAGCTCTTGGTATTAAGTTGTCTCGTAACAGGTGGGCGATATGCCTACTCGTTGAAGAACTTTGCAAAGATCTGAAACTTTCGGTTTTCGAAACAATTTCCGTGGACACGTACATGTTATAACTCATTGTGTCTTGTGACTTGAATTGATCAAAGTAAGTTGCACATGATTCTGATCAATCAAGTGTCCTGTTTTCTACCTCTGGATTGCCCTGTATCTAAATGTGTCCCATCAATCTTTTTTGATTATAAGTACTTTCATTTGTGACAAAGCAGAGTCAGAAATTGTCCTTAATTACTCCATGGGAATAAAAGGGTATATATTACCAAGTAACAAACATATATTTCAACTTTTAATATGTGATGAGTATTGCTACACTTGCAGGAGATGTATTCATGAAAACTATACACGGTAAGTTCCACTGGTGCCATTAGGTTACTCTTGTGCAGCTAGATTTGCAATTTCTGCTAGAGGCTTCCACACAAACTTTCTCCTGCAGGCGAATAGGTTAATGGTCATGCAAAGTGCAAACATAGCTGATTTGATTAGTGTATATGGTAAGGAATGATATACTCACCAGTTGCCACATTCAGCAATAACCCGGACATTAGGACGAAGAGAGGGAAGCAAAGCGAGAAATTGGAGTTCAGCCTTGGAGAGGACCTGGGTTGTTGATTAGATATAAATGGAAAGATGAGAAGCAGCATATGGGAGACAAATAAAATGAGTAAAACTCAAACCTTTGCTTCGAGGACCCATACGACAAGACCTTTGGCACTAGGGGGAAGAGCAGAGAGCCTGTAATCAACCTCTGGTGGATAGTACCATCTTGCTATAGGTTGTTTGCCAAGATGAGCCTAAAACAAGATAAGAGGACATGGTTCACACAAAATATTATCGAAACAAGATTAAATGGAGAAGATCGATGAAAGGAGACATACAGGGCAAACAGGGTAGTTCTTGAGGAGAGTAGTCTCAGGGTCACCAAGGCCCCGAGCAGAGATGTCAAGAAAGTAGTAGCCTTGCATTTTGAGACGGTTAAGATAACGACCTTCGTAACCACCCTCATGAGGAGCGTAAATGGCGATTGCCTTGTGCTCTTCCACGTCTTGAAGCCATTGTCCGATGTCCGGCTTCACCAAGTCACCTCCGATGTAGTCAGCTATGCTGCTACATCTCACACCATCACTTCTTCTTCTCTTACTCCTTGTTTTCACAAAAAAGGGACCAACTGTTTTGATCTTCTTCACTTGCGAGGCTTCAAAACACGGTGGTGCCACACGTTGTATACATACCGCACGGCTTCCCATTTCTTCACTAACAATGACTTCTTGTGGAAGTAGCTCATAATAAACATTGCTTGACGACGATGATGATGAAAGAATGGTGGAGAAACGACGACTCACTAGACAAGGGGATAGACATTAATGGGCTTAAAATTTAGTGGGCTTTATTTGTTAGGCCCATTAAATACCGCCGAACGTCAAGACATGTTTAGCTAGCTCGGGAATGAGATATAAGAGTCATCGCCGGAGCAAAAACAGTCGGTGAAACTTTCGGACAAGAAGGGATGTCGAGAGGATCTCGACTCGTTAGGGCTCCTGGGCTCTTACTCTGTCGCGCTAATCTTCACCCTCAACCCAAAATCCCATCTTTTTCCTACAGTCTTCGCTCTGATTATCGTCGTCATAATGGTTTCTCCAATTACATCAGACGTAACTCAATTCGAACATCTCCCGTTATCAATGCCTTCCTCTCTGATCACTCACCATCCCCATCACCATCACCATCCCCAATTCGTTTCGTTCAACGGAGTTCCGTGCTTAATGGGCGTCTTTTTTCGACTTCTACTCCCAATCCCGACCAAGCAGCCACCAAGTCTAAGGAAATCAAGATAACCTCGTCGGATTCAGACTCGGCTATGGCTGACATGAAGATTCTCCGCACGCTTGCTGGCTATTTGTGGATGAGAGACAATCCAGAATTCCGTTTCAGGGTCATCGCTGCTTTGGGTTTTCTAGTGGGTGCTAAGGTTTTGAATGTTCAAGTCCCTTTCCTCTTTAAATTAGCTGTTGATTGGCTTGCTTCAGCCACCGGTACAGGAGCCTCTCTGACCACCTTCGCTGCTACAAACCCTACTCTTCTTACTGTTTTTGCTACTCCTGCTGCTGTCCTCATTGGATATGGCATTGCTCGGACGGGATCTTCTGCTTTTAATGGTAACTCTCAATAGCTCAATTTTTTTTATGAAGAAGAAAACGAAAAGAATGCTCTTTTCACTCTTGGTCTTTGCTACTTTCCATCATCGCAGAACTTCGTACTGCTGTGTTCTCTAAGGTAGCTCTCCGAACAATACGATCTGTTTCTAGAAAGGTATGCTGCTGCTGCTCTAAACTATCTTGTCGATAGATATTTTTGTTTGTATCCTTTGTATGTATCAATCAATTTCATATGGTGGCTTTGCAGGTGTTCTCACATTTACATGATCTTGACCTTCGTTACCACCTAAGGTATCTATTACCCCTCTCTTACTCTTGTGAGTAATCTCGCTCATTCCATCTTAGGTCCATCTCATCATAACCTCCTTACTTAATTGCTTATGTCCAGTCGAGAAACAGGTGCCTTGAACAGAATTATTGATCGTGGTAGCCGTGCGATAAATTTTATCCTCTCAGCTATGGTTTTCAATGTTGTTCCTACCATATTGGAGGTAAAGCTTGTCTGACCACTTGGTGCTTTCTCATGATCATGGAGTTTTCTCATTTTGAATAATGGCAGTTGCTCATTCATATTTGGATTACACTATTCATTTGTCTCTAAAAACAGTCGACGTAATTAATATGTATCTTCCAGATATCTATGGTATCAGGTATACTAGCATACAAGTTCGGAGCTGCTTTTGCCTGGATTACTTCCCTCTCTGTTGGATCATATATAGTTTTCACATTAGCTGTGACACAGGTACTGTGCATTCTTCGGTATACTCTTTTCAATGCCAACTATAATGCAATACTTACAACCTCGACTTGTTTGTGTTATTATAATCCAATACTTGCCTTATTATCATGATAATCCAGCACTAACGGTAATAATTTGCTTAAGACACTACTATACACTGTTCTTGAACTCGTTACTAAGCTTCTCTGAACTTAATTGTATCAACTCTTTGGATTGGCTTTAAATCATTCTAGTTGTGATATTAGGTGTGATGTCCATGTAGAAGGATAATTGTCTTTATAAATTCTCCTCATCTTTCATTTTCTTGTTACAAATCTTTTTGGTGTCAGATGCTTTGCTCACGTTTCCTTTATTTTATCCAGTGGCGAACCAAGTTTAGAAAGGCTATGAACAAAGCTGATAATGATGCTAGCACAAGGGCCATTGATTCTCTGATAAATTATGAGGTAAATTTTCAATCTTTTTCTTTTTGCTTTACTTGCAGTTTTGACATAATTTCTGTTTCGTTTCAGACTGTCAAATATTTTAACAATGAAGGTTATGAAGCTGAAAAGTATGACCAGTTCCTGAAAAGTAAGTAACTCTACTAGCTGTTTAGATGAATTTTTTTTATTTTAATCTAAATTTCCAAAAAAGAAAATTTCTTCAGTTTTACTTTTAGCAAGAATAGTTGCAACGAGAAAGAAATTCAGATAAGAAAATATGCTGATGACTGCTTTACATCTTTATTTACAAGTTCTTTTTGCTAGGAAGAAAACCGATTGATGTTCTATCATAATATATTATTGCTCAGTCCATTTACCTTGATTTCTCTTGTAATGATTCTGCTGCTTATACCAGAATATGAAGATGCTGCCCTGCAAACTCAAAGAAGTCTTGCTTTTTTAAACTTTGGACAAAGTATCATATTTAGTACAGCTCTGTCAACAGCAATGGTGTTGTGCTCTCAGGGCATCATGAATGGCCAGATGACAGTCGGTGACTTGGTCAGTGCGTCCTTCGATTTTTCCCCTACATCGGTATTTTATGTCCGCCTGTATTTTTATGCAAATTGTTTTCTAATAAGCTTTTGCATGTTTGGGCGATGCAGGTTATGGTGAATGGACTTCTCTTTCAGTTGTCTCTTCCTCTAAACTTTTTGGGTAGTGTTTACCGTGAAACCATTCAGAGCCTTGTGGACATGAAATCAATGTTCCAGTTGCTAGAGGTATATGAGGATATTATAATTGTTTCTTTAAACTCTGCATTTGGTTAAGTTTCTTAAACACCTTTTTTTTATAAAAATGCTTCAATCAAGAAGTGATATTTAAATGCATGCTTTTTAGTATGCACTCCTGGCATGTTGAATTAATGATGTGGTATTCTCTTACTGTTTCAGGAGAAATCTGACATCACAAATACAGATGACGCAAAGCCTCTTGTACTGAAAGGTGGAAGCATTGAGTTTGAAAATGTACACTTCAGGTAGGTGGAACATTACTATCGTATTAATTGTAAGTGCCATGCTATCTTGGGCAGCAAAGTGTGTTAAGATTAATAGAAGTACTATTAACTCAAATTTTATTTCACTGATGAACTCAATACACCCCAGAAAGTCTTTATTAATTAGATTTGTTGAGCTTATCAAAGTGGCAAATTATAAGATACATTGCATGATTTGGATATCAGCTTCATGTTGTGGTTGAAGACGAAGGGGGTTAATAACTTATGTCTATTGCCACATCACCATTCTCTTTTTCTACAATTACAGTTACCTTCCAGAGAGAAAAATATTAGATGGAATTTCCTTTGTCGTACCGGCAGGAAAAAGTGTGGCAATCGTTGGTACTAGCGGGAGCGGTAATTCCTAAACCTCGTCTGTTTAAGCATCTAAGTTCAAATTTATAATTCTGGTATACTGTTGCAAACCTTATGCTTTGTTCTATGGCAGGCAAGTCAACAATTCTTAGAATGCTATTCAGATTCTTCGACACAGATTCCGGAAATGTAAGCATTTTTTTTGTTTGTGAACTGTGGGGTCTTGTTTGGAATTGGAAGCAGAGAAATTTACGGAAGAAAATGCTTGGTATCTAGATAACATCGTTTTTGTCATGTTGGTTACCAGGTAAGGATTGACGGGCAAAATATAAAGGAAGTAAGACTAGATAGCCTCCGAAGCTCCATAGGAGTTGTGCCCCAAGATACTGTAAGTTGGCATTTTTGCTACTTCTCGTCGTGAGGCTTTTTGTTATACACACCACTATGACCTGCATTCAATTGTTTCTCGCCTTTCTTCTCATTGTAACGTTTCTGGTCATACTAGACACTAGATTGTTTTTTTTTTTTTTTTTCACTTTTCTTCTCCTTTTTTCACATGTATCATTGTAAGCTTTCTATTAATGTAGAACACTCCAAAGTTTTGTTGTTCTCAAGGGTAATCTCTAATGCACTGCAGGTGCTCTTCAATGACACAATATTTCACAACATACATTATGGACGTCTCTCAGCTACAGAAGAAGAGGTACCAGTCAACTTAATACTTGGTGCAAATGTCAAGTTTAATATCAAGAATCCTCATCTGATATTTATTTCAATCCAGGTGTATGAGGCTGCTCGACGTGCTGCAATTCATGAAACGATCAGTAATTTCCCTGATAAATATTCCACGATCGTTGGGGAAAGGGGGCTCAAGGTCAGTATTTTGATGTTATATTTGGAAATTTTTAGGTAGACCAGTATATGCCTCGTGAGTTCAGTGGCTAGTAGCAGTTTATGATTGAGTTATGGGGAGTTAGTCCCCGTCATTTTTGTCATGGTCATCATCAAAGTAAAACAAGCAAGTCAATCAGGGTTCCAAGTCAAAGTTCACCTGTTGTAAACTGGATGAAGAAAAATATGATTTAATAAACTAGTTTCGCAGAACTGTAACAAGCATGAGAGAAAAAGGGGATTAGCCAATATTAGATGTTTTCTATATAATTGCAAAGAGTAGCATGGATGAGTGACCATCCAGAGTTTGAGTAGAGTCATATATTGATGGGGTTTTAGGATTGTGATGACCATGGAGTGATGTTGTGTGCAGTTAAGTGGTGGAGAGAAACAAAGAGTGGCACTTGCTCGGGCATTTTTGAAATCCCCTGCGATTCTGTAAGTAATTTTGCATAGAAGCAGCATTGACTTTACCTATGTGATTAAGTACGTGTTGAGTCCTCACATACATAGAGAGATGGTTGGTATACACAGGTTGTGTGATGAGGCAACGAGTGCGCTGGACAGCACAACAGAGGCAGAGATACTGAACGCACTCAAGGCACTAGCGAGTAACAGGACATCCATCTTCATTGCCCACAGGCTAACCACTGCGATGCAATGTGACCAGGTTTGTAGTAAATAGTGTTGTCAACGTAGCTGTTAAGAGCAAAAAAACAATGTTGTTGCCTAACTAAAACTTGTGGTTGTGGGCACAGATCGTTGTACTGGAAAACGGGAAGGTGGTGGAACAAGGGCCCCACGATGAGCTATTGGGAAAATCAGGGAGATATGCGCAGCTATGGACACAACAAAACAGCAGTGTGGATATGCTTGATGCAGCTGTGAAATTGGAGTAGTAAAAATCTCAGAGCCAAATGTGTAAAATTTATATTTATCTCATTGATTTTTGTATGGAGCTTATATAGTTAAATAGGGTCCCAAAGAACACGAGACAAAGGGAATAATAAATAATGGTGAATGATTTAACACAAGTTCTTTACGGGATTGTGTAGTACTAAGCAAGTTACGGTAAAATAATCAAATTTTATTTGGTAAAGCCCAAATAAGCCCAACTAATTACCAATTAACTAAAAGAAAATACCTAATTCCGTGATTTCGAATTTCAAACGAAGCGCCATTTCTTTCTCCTCCTGGGGAACTCTGCAATCGCCATGGCTTATGAGGAAGCTCGCAAGCTCCGTCTTCAAGAGAATCACAAGCGATTTCAGGTTTCCCTTCATCGTTACCGTGTTTCTTACTTCTCCTCCTTCTCTGATTCGTTTATCACTTTTGATTATTGAATCTCAGGATTTAGGAATCTCCCAGATTTCTAAGACTCTGACACAGATTACCAAGAAAACGCCTCAGGTTTCGTGTTTTTTTTCTCCCATTTCTGCTTCATACCTTGCTCAATTTTGCAGCTTTACCTCAATTTCAGCTTCTTCAGCAGCGTAACCCCAGACCCATCGATAAAGCCCTCTTTGCTACTGCTGAACCAAGGCGCTCTTCTCGTGTTCGTACCGTAATTTCTTCCTATCGCGATGATGTAATTTTCCCAGATGTCTCTTTGATCTTGTAATCGATTTTTCACATCAATCAATCACCCTAATCCCCTTTCTCTTTCCAGGTCGCCGTAGACACTGGTCGTACTTCGAATCTGAGGAGATCACGGCATAGCTCTACATGGGCTACGTAAGTGCCTCTGCACAATTTAGCCCTAAAAACCTGTCCTTTAATCTGATCAATTACTTAAACTTTATCAGCTACATTTCTCGTCCTCTACATGAGTGCAAGTTTGCATCTTACGAAGAAAAGGTTGGAGCACTCAATGCTGCAGAGAAGTTCCAGAGCCGCCTTAAATCTCCACATCCTTCCTTTGTGAAATCTATGGTTCGCTCCCATGTTTACAGTTGCTTTTGGCTGGTACGGTTTTTCACTACACTACTTGTGTGTGTTTCTTCTTCTAGGATTTCGTGTAACCTTACTTGACCTACATGGGTTTGTTTGCAATTTCAAGGGGCTTCCTTCAAGATTCTGTGTGGACAATTTTCCTGAGGAAACTATGGAAATAGTACTAGAGGATGAAGAAGGCGAAGAGTATGAAGCAGTGTACATTGGGAGAAGAAGTGGGCTCAGTGGTGGTTGGAAAAGGTTTGCCCTTGATCATAAATTGGATGATGGTGATGCTCTACTCTTTCAATTGGTTGAACCAAAGAGGTTTAAGGTATGTATGTGTCTTGAACAAGAGTCATGTGGTTGGAGTTAGCTGACATCCTCACAAGATGATTATAAATGTGTGCTTTGTGCAGATCTATGTGTTTAAAGGAAATGAGAACGCTAATCTTACAAGCGCAGGAAAGAGAGGCAGAGCGACAAGTGAAGAAGAAGAAGAAGATAAGGATGTTGAAGAATCATGTGATGATGAACACAGCTCAAGAGCCACTAAGAGACCATCCGCAAGGTTACTAAGGAAGAGGAAAGCATAAGAGAGCTTTGTTTTGTCTAAATGCCCCATATTTTTTTTTTACCTTATGCGGCTTTTGGTTTTGGGTGGGGCTAATACTTATGGCATATTTTAAGTTTACCAACCTAAGGTAAAGTTGTTTTTCCAGTAGTAAAGTAGAACTGAAGTATGTCTGGTATCGGCTTTGGTTCCAAAATTGAAATTGTTTCCTCTCAGTTTTGGTTACTAGGCGATGATGAGCTATAGATATGATCCCCATTTAGACCAACTCTCTCGGTCACCAAATAAGTTAAACCGAGTGAGTCTTGGCTAGTGGCGTTTTTTAGATATTCCAGTTTTCCATATATTACGCTTCTTCCTATATATAACCTTTATTTCCTTTCTCGCTTGGAGGGACTCTACTAATTTGCCAATCTAATTCGTTGGACTTGGAGTTTATAATAAACAAATTAAAATGGAAAAAGTAAACGGGCTATTAAATATCAAACTGGGCCTTACTTTGTGCAAAAGGCCCATTTTAAATATTTTCCTTCTTAAAAGAGGCTATGAATAAAGGTTTTTAGATGAGTCGGTTCACAATCTCACTTTTCTTTTCCTCTACTCCAAAGATCTATCGGTTCACAAAAGTCTATTTATTTTCCTAGCAATCTCACTTTTCTTTTTCTCTACACCAAAGATCTCTCACCGATAATGGCTTCTGCAGCTGTTGCATCGATGGTTCTTGACCCTAAAGCATCTCCGGCTTTGATGGATCTATCCACCGCAGACGAAGAAGATCTCTATGGCCGCCTGAAATCGCTTGAACGGCAACTAGAGTTCACCGATATCCAAGAGGAATATGTGAAAGACGAGCAAAAGAATCTCAAACGAGAGCTCTTACGGGCTCAAGAGGAGGTCAAACGAATTCAATCCGTGCCTCTCGTGATAGGTCAGTTCATGGAGATGGTAGATCAGAACAACGGCATCGTCGGATCTACTACTGGCTCCAATTACTATGTCAGAATTCTCAGCACCATCAATAGAGAACTCTTAAAGCCTTCTGCTTCCGTCGCTCTTCACCGTCACTCCAACGCCCTTGTTGATGTTTTGCCCCCGGAGGCCGATTCTAGCATCTCCCTTCTCAGCCAATCTGAGAAGCCTGACGTCTCCTACAATGTAAAGTTTCCTTTTTTCCAAATCTCGACCCTGTTTTCTAAATTAAAGTTAGGGTTTTTGAAACCATCTTTGGGTTCTTATGTGTTGCTTCATCTTTTCGTGTAGGATATTGGAGGATGCGATATTCAGAAGCAGGAAATTCGTGAGGCTGTTGAATTGCCTCTTACCCATCACGAGCTTTACAAACAGATTGGTATAGACCCACCACGCGGTGTCTTACTTTATGGACCTCCTGGTACTGGAAAGACTATGTTGGCTAAGGCTGTTGCCAATCACACAACCGCTGCCTTCATTAGGGTTGTTGGATCCGAGTTTGTGCAAAAGTACCTCGGCGAGGTAATAAAGATTACAGCTTTATTGAATGTTAAGGTCTTATTGGGCGATTCTGTTTGGTGACTAACTGGCCTTTCAATTGCAGGGACCTCGTATGGTTCGTGATGTCTTCCGTCTTGCCAAGGAAAACGCTCCAGCTATCATCTTCATTGATGAGGTAGATGCCATCGCTACTGCTAGGTTTGATGCTCAAACAGGAGCTGATAGGGAAGTTCAACGTATTCTCATGGAGCTTCTTAATCAGGTGAGAACAGGAAACAAATATGTGTATCTTAACATTCTCCTAAGATGTTTTAATTCAGATCTTATGCTGTAGAATAATGGATTTTAGTTGTGTCCTTAACTTATTGTGTTGAATTCGATGTAGATGGATGGATTTGACCAGACCGTGAATGTCAAGGTCATAATGGCAACCAACAGGGCAGACACTCTAGATCCTGCACTCTTACGTCCTGGGAGACTTGATCGTAAGATTGAGTTCCCCCTTCCTGATAGACGTCAAAAGAGGCTTGTTTTCCAGGCAAGTTTATTACTACAAGCACTTAAATAACTCATTAAAGAGAAACGAAACCAATTGTTTTCTCAAAAGAAAGTTTTGACTGATATCTTAGTTTCTGTCTTATTGATTGGTTTTTCCTTGTGTAGGTATGCACCTCCAAAATGAACCTCAGCGATGAGGTTGACTTGGAAGACTATGTTTCACGGCCTGATAAAATTAGTGCTGCTGAGGTTAGTTTATTTTGCTTACTATTCTATGCTTCCCGCTAGAGTTTACTTTTACCATGATATATCCTTCTGGGTCACCACCTAATGATGTTCTTTGAAATGTGAACTTGAGCATACTCTTAATCATACTGTTTCAAACATTATGTGTGGTTGTTAGCTGAGTCGTTTGTACATCATTGTCCTGAACTGAATTGTTGAGAAAACAATTCTTGGCAGTAATGTGGTTTTATTTTCTTAATCTTGTGGTAATGTACATGGAAATTGATCCTGAAAGGATTGCATGAAAGTCCTTATGATGATAGATATTAAATAACTCACTATTAACTCACTATTTTGATTTTATGTTGAACAATGCAGATAGCAGCAATCTGCCAGGAAGCTGGTATGCATGCGGTGCGAAAGAACAGATATGTGATACTACCTAAGGATTTCGAGAAGGGGTACCGCGCAAATGTTAAGAAGCCAGACACGGACTTTGAGTTTTACAAGTGAAGAGAATGCAGAAATGGAATCAGATTATGGCTGTTGTTAAAATTCCAGTGTGTTTTGAGAATTATTTATGGACATGGAATCAAATTTGCAGTTAAATTATGAACTAAGTTGCATCTCTAATTTGTGGAACTCGAGTTCATATTTGTGTTTAGTCTATCAGCTTTTTACAGTTAAATGTATAAGAAAACAGGGGATGGTGTCCTTAGAATTGACAGAATTTGGAACAGATAAAGCAGCAGGTAATAATTATGTCTCGTCTGACTAAAAAGAAAAAAAATAGTGATGATATAGAAATGGTTGGTATTAGGAGCACGCTCCACGGCTCAATGTTCTTATTATGTGTTGGATCTTGTTGAGGAGTTGGTACTTGTAGATGAGGACATGACAAGTTTTACTTTTACATAGTAATCCGCAAATCAAGAATGATGCAAATCAAGAGAAAACAGTAGCAAGAGTGGTTGGACAGGTAAGAACTATTACCATATCCAAATGATTACTTTAAAAATAACAACTAGGCCCTTTATTTGGATCAAGATGACACTTTTGTTTCCATGTATTTGTCATTTTGCTATCTCGTAAGAATCTTAAGCTTGGTCAATATCTACACTAACGTTTGTTGCGGTGTTAACACACCACTATGATTTGATCTAAAGACTCCCTTTTGAAGACTGTCTTACCCTTAACAGTTACGCCTCTTTTGTTTAACTTCACCACACTCTCTCTCTTCTTCTACTTCTTCTTCTTCTCCTTCTCTGTGTCTCTTCCATCTCTTTCACCATTTCAAGATTGTGTTATGGTCCGCTCAAAACAGTAAATGCAGAGGTCTGAGCGTTCCATCTGCATCATTTCTTCCACTCTTGGCTAAGTTCTTCAATGCCCACAATTTTCGTACTTTGCTAGCTTGCCTCTCTACTCTCAGGTTCCTCTTTCTCTCGTCTTCTTGTTTTTGCTTTTTGTATTTTCCTTTTAACTTTCTGTAATTGTCCGTCTCTCATTGTTGGGAATTATACTTAAAATCGCCATTTTCTCCGGCTAGGTGGGTAGGAAAGTTTCCAGACTTTAGCTAGTGACGTGGTATATTAGTTTCCAATTCGCTGGCTACACGTTGTTTGTTCAACAACTCCGATAAAAATCAGACACCCAAAACTCATCTTTATTTACTTAGTGACATTGTCCACATGATGGACAGACCTCTGCTTCTTTCTCTAGTGACATATCTTTTGGCAAAAGGAGTCTGCTTTTCTTTGCTCATCAAAGTTTTGTGTTAAAGTTTGGCTCTTTAGCTTTATTCCTTTTGCTTTTTTGTTTGCTGGATGCTTCAATCTCTTATCTTAGCCTCTTGGATTGTTTAATCTCCCAATGATAAAGATAAAGATAGGCAATGGCATACTTTTTCTTGAAGCTCTAACTAGTATCTTTATTTGTTATTTCTTCCCACTGTAGTTTTTTATATCACTGATATACTTGTTTCTTTCACAACCGAATATTAGTTATCAACTTTCAATGTTGTGATCCAATCTTGAAATTTCCTAGAGCCTCATCTTCTATAAATGAGGCTTGCTTGGCCAGTTCCTTAGAGATACCTGATTAGCTTAGCTTTCCTGGGTGCTGCATACTGGCTTGTGTGGTGGAAGTCATTGCTCATCATCTTCTCGTTTTCTTTTGAAGCAGGAGGGCCAAGAAGTCAAGCTGATGATGCAGCTCCATTTCCGGATTTATGTTGGTCCAATATTTGCCTTGAGACCCTCAAAGGGGTTCTTGTCTGCTTGTCTTGTGTCTTTCTTGTTAGTCACAACTACTTTCTGCTCTTTTGCTATTGCGGACCTGAACTCGGATAGGCAAGCTCTTCTTGCCTTTGCTGCTTCTGTCCCTCATCTTAGACGGCTCAACTGGAATTCCACAAACCATATCTGCAAATCATGGGTTGGCGTCACCTGCACTTCTGATGGTCTTAGTGTTCATGCTCTTCGCCTTCCGGGAATTGGACTCTTGGGACCAATCCCTCCAAACACACTTGGTAAACTAGAATCACTCAGGATTCTCAGTTTGAGATCAAACCTCCTCAGTGGTAACCTTCCTCCTGATATTCACTCTCTCCCTTCACTAGATTACATCTTTCTACAACATAACAACTTCTCTGGTGAGGTTCCTTCCTTTGTGTCCCCACAGCTCAATATCCTAGATCTCTCCTTTAACTCTTTCACCGGGAAGATACCAGCAACGTTCCAAAATCTGAAGCAATTGACAGGGTTAAGCCTCCAAAATAACAAACTTTCTGGACCAGTACCTAATCTTGATACAGTAAGTCTGAGACGGTTAAACTTGAGCAACAATCATCTTAATGGTTCAATACCCTCTGCACTTGGTGGGTTTCCCAGTTCATCTTTTTCCGGAAACACATTGTTATGTGGACTTCCTCTGCAACCCTGTGCCATTTCCTCTCCCCCTCCTTCTCTTACCCCGCACATCTCCACGCCTCCATTGCCGCCATTTCCTCACAAAGAAGGTTCAAAAAGGAAACTACATGTAAGCACTATCATTCCTATTGCAGCTGGTGGGGCTGCACTGCTGCTGTTAATCACCGTAGTTATCTTGTGTTGCTGTATCAAGAAAAAGGACAAGAGGGAAGACAGCATCGTAAAAGTAAAGACTTTGACTGAGAAAGCAAAGCAAGAATTTGGAAGTGGGGTGCAAGAACCTGAGAAGAATAAGCTGGTGTTCTTTAATGGATGCTCCTATAACTTTGATCTAGAGGATTTGTTGAGGGCATCAGCGGAAGTACTAGGAAAAGGTAGCTATGGGACAGCATACAAGGCTGTCCTAGAGGAATCCACAACTGTTGTGGTAAAAAGGTTGAAGGAAGTGGCAGCTGGAAAGAGAGAGTTTGAACAGCAAATGGAGATTATCAGTTGGGTCGGGAACCATCCTAGCGTGGTTCCCCTCCGTGCATATTACTACTCCAAGGATGAGAAGCTCATGGTTTGTGATTATTACCCTGCTGGTAACTTATCATCACTCCTCCATGGTTAGTCTTCTTCCTATCTTCGTTTAATAGTTTATATTTACCTTGTTGTTTGCTTAAGAATATGTTGATTTTGATGCCATGACAGGTAACCGGGGAAGTGAGAAAACGCCTCTCGACTGGGACTCCAGAGTAAAAATCACACTATCAGCCGCAAAAGGTATAGCTCATCTCCATGCAGTTGGAGGTCCAAAGTTCAGTCATGGAAACATAAAGTCCTCAAATGTGATTATGAAGCAGGAGAGCGATGCATGCATTTCTGATTTTGGACTGACCCCTCTGATGGCTGTGCCCATTGCTCCAATGAGGGGTGCAGGCTACCGCGCACCAGAAGTAATGGAAACAAGGAAACACACACATAAATCCGATGTTTACAGTTTCGGTGTACTTATACTAGAGATGTTGACTGGGAAGTCTCCAGTGCAGTCGCCAAGCCGAGATGACATGGTTGATCTCCCCAGGTGGGTTCAGTCAGTTGTGAGAGAGGAATGGACAAGCGAGGTGTTTGATGTTGAGCTGATGAGGTTCCAGAACATTGAAGAAGAAATGGTACAGATGCTGCAGATTGCTATGGCATGTGTAGCTCAAATGCCTGAGGTGCGACCCACCATGGATGACGTCGTTAGAATGATTGAAGAGATACGAGTTTCAGACTCTGAGACCACCCGGCCATCTTCTGATGACAATAGCAAACCCAAGGACTCCAACGTTCAAGTTCAAATCACTCCTTGATTTCTCATTCCCTTTTTTATCTTTGTTTTTGAGTTTGTATGTCTTTTAAGGCTTTATGTTGATTGTTTGAAAATCACTCGCCCGAGTAGTAGTAAGACCGCAGTTGGAGGCGCGGGTGACATTTACATAGCAATTATCGTAGGCTCCTTTCTATGTATCTCATAATATATATGAATATGATTCAGTTTTATGCAAGCCAAGTATCCAAAAGATGGATTTGGAAGAGTTCCAGAGAGACATATAAAGAGGAATCAGGGAGAAAGAGATGAGGCTGCTTGAAGGAGGAATTGATAGAGTTCTTGAGGTTGGGAGAAAAAAGCAGAGTGATCACTGTCCGGAAGAAGGAAGGTCTGAGCAGGAGGCCACAGGGCCAACATTACCTCTTGAAGAACTGGTTCGAACAAATGGTCCTTCCCTGTCTTCACGTACACCCTTGGGATTTTGTCAGTCTCTGGAGCTTTCGGAATATCCATTATGCCTACGAATGCCATGACAGGGGCTGGACGCAGAAGCGTTGTAGCCAGTGTGTAATCCTGATCATAATGAATAGATGAATGATATGATGATACTTAAAACAAAATATTGAAGCAGAGATGATAACAAAGAGTTGGTAATAAAGGACAAACCTCCATGGGGCTCTCGTTGTAAAACTTGTCCCTAACGTACTCAGGTTTCATCATGATGCCTGTTGGGGGATTTTGTGGTCCGTTTCCAAAAGAAAAGTCCCATATCTTCTCAGTTTCCTCCTCTATCAATCCTGAACATATCTTCATTACATTTTTGAGTCTTTCGGGAATCAAGGTACCAGGTTTGACCATGGCAGCTGCGACGTAAACGGCCAAGGAAACTTTGGAAGGAAAGAGGCACATGGCAGCAGTCATGCTCCCTCCTCCAACGCTGTGGCTCACAAGAATGACCTTTTGATCGATGGGAAGTTGGGAGAGGAAGGCATAGAGAGGCTCGTCGTAGTCATCCAAAGAAGAGACAGTATTTGGATCAGTAGGGTTGATCCCAGCGGCCTTGAGGTCGATACATGTAGCCTTATGTCCATTCTCCCTCAGTGAATTGGCGAGCTTGTACCAACACCATCCTCCATGACCTGCTCCATGCACAAACACAAAATGATGCTCAGTCATCTCTAATCTTCTTCTCATACATCATATTCCTTGCACTATCTTTTGTAGTTAGTGTGATATTTATTATGTATGGCTATGATGTGTTCATGATCATGTTCTTTAAATGAACGATGTAAACGGCAGTTTTGTCCAAAACTCACAAAGATTACCAGTCTTTGATGTGTAGTGGATCAACTTTGAAGGCCAAACAAAACACATATTCTATACCGAGGCCCAAATCAACTTGAATTCTTCTTTTGGTTATCTACCGTACATGTTTTTGTTTTCTGAACTGAGATTTACTCCTTCAAGTAATGAATGAGTCCACACCACTGACACTTCTTCTTTTCTACGCTAGAAGCATCTTTTTTTGAGATTTCTGGTTTTCAAAAATTACATAAGAAGAAGAATAGACAGTGAAACAGAAATAAATAAAAACTTAAAGATTCTTACATGTTGCATTGCATCCATTCCTTTTCAATATAAAATATAGATTTTAATATGAAGCTTGATAGTTACAAATCTACTTAATTTTAATTATATGATACTTACTTACTATAAGATATTAAGATTTGCAAGATAATATTCTTTATTTGTGTGTGTGAAACAAAAGAGAATTTTTAATTATATTTATTCAAAAAATCTAACAGCTCTAATAACTTTTGTTGAAAAATGTCTGTTTGGTGAAAAAGAAATTAAAATCAGGTGTTGACACTTTATGAAAAAGAAACGTAATCTAAATCTAGTCGCTTACACATTGGCAGAATAATTTTTTCTTTTTGTTTACATCATCTTCATATATCATAGAGATATCTCTTTACGAAATACACTTGTATATACATTTGTTTGGTCAACATACGTAATTTTATATCAATAATAATAAATCATATAGAATTAGATATTTAAAATGCATTAAATTTGAAATGAAAGGAAAAAGCTAGAGAAGTGGAGCGCCACAAAATGAAAAGGTGATTTGGCCTCTCGAGACTAATTAATAACGTGGATTACTCTCCTAAACACTGAAAAGTATTCCCATTTTAATTACATTTAGAAAGAAGAAAAGCCATTTCAAATTTTCAATGGCTGCATAATCTCTGATCTTTTGACTGCATGAACCTTCAAGTATTCGAATGGCAACAGAATTAAAACGAGAGAGAAATAGTCACGACGGCCATTAATCATCTTGTGAATGGTCGGTTTGATTAGTGGGGAAGGAGAGGTCAATGACTCTCTAATAATACTATTCTCTCTCCACGTGGACACAGTGGAATTAGTCCCTTAATTACATATTTTAATTACAGAGAGACAACCTAATCACTTGGCCACGTTGAAATTGCAAGTACTAGTTAAGACTTGTTCCGCAACATCTGTCTTAAAGGTAAGTGTATAAATTCATTTGACTATATTTTTTTTCCGATTTTTCTTCATTCTAAAAAGCTAAAAGCTTTCGTCTTCTTCCCTCTTCTTCTCTCTTCCATCATCATCATCATCATCATCATCATCCTCCACCTTCTACTTCTTCTCAGGTTCCTCTTTTTTTGTCCTCTTTTGTGTAATACGTTTTGTCATGATTCTCTGAACAGTACCGATCCTTTTTGTTTTTTTTTTTTGGGATTAGCGAAAAATAAAAATACCGACGTTTTTGTATTATTTGTCTGACAGACAGAATCTGTATTATTTGTCCGCAAAAAAAGTGAAGTCATCTTTTTCCAATAGTCTCATGATTGTCTCTTGTGTGTTTCCAGCTTTCCCATAGGGTCCATTGATTTTGCAACCATGGATTATGATCTGGTACATACCAAAACCAAAAAACTTTGTCTTTTTCATATCAAAAACCGAATTCTCATTCTTGATTCTGGTTTTTTTTTTTTTGCCAGGTTCGTTCCAAGAAGAGTATCAAACGAGCAGAATCCACCAAATCAAATCCATGGTGGTGGGATAGTCATATCGGTCTCAAAAATTCTAAGTGGCTTGAGAATAATCTCGATGGTGAGTCCATTCGCATTGTGTCATTTTCATGTTAAAAAAAAAATCATGTTAGTTTCGTAATGAAAATATCTTTCTTATTAGGCTTAGAGTTTCCCAAATTAGGTGATTAGTCTTTTCATAAAGGAAATAAAAATGCCAACTTTATGTTTTGTGTGATGATCATAATCAGAGATGGACCGGAGCGTGAAACGGATGGTGAAGTTGATAGAGGAGGATGCAGATTCGTTTGCCAAGAAGGCAGAGATGTATTACCAGTCAAGACCTGAGCTTATTAGCCTTGTCGAGGAGTTTCACCGTATGTACCGTGCTTTGGCAGAGCGGTACGAGAACATCACTGGAGAGTTGAGAAAAGGCTCTCCTTTAGAGCTTCAGTCACAGGGGTCTGGCCTTTCCGACATCTCTGCCTCTGACCTCACTGCTTTTTGGACTTCTAATGAGCTTAATAGGTTAGGCCGTCCCCCTTCTGGACGACGTGCTCCTGGTTTTGAATACTTCCTTGGCAATGGAGGACTTCCCTCTGATCTTTATCACAAAGATGGAGATGATTCTGCTTCCATTACTGATTCTGAACTTGAATCTGATGATTCTTCTGTCACTAATTACCCTGGTTATGTGAGCATCGGCTCTGACTTTCAGTCCCTTAGCAAGAGGATCATGGATCTTGAGACTGAACTACGTGAAGCCAAAGAAAGACTTAGGATGCAACTTGAAGGGAACACCGAGAGCTTGTTGCCGAGGGTGAAAAGTGAGAGTAAATTTGTTGATTTCCCCGCAAAACTTGCTGCTTGTGAGCAAGAACTAAGAGATGCAAATGAGAAGTTACAGAATTCAGAAGACCAAATCTATATGTTAAAGAGTCAGCTTGCAAGATACTTGCCATCTGAGTTGGATGATGAACGGGACGAAGGGGCAGCTTCCACCCAAGACCTGGACATTGAGACTTTGTCTGAAGAGCTGAGAATTACAAGCCTGAGGCTTCGGGAGGCAGAGAAACAAAACGGTATCATGCGAAAAGAAGTCGAGAAAAGCAAGTCTGATGACGCGAAACTCAAGAGTCTGCAAGGCATGCTTGAGTCGGCACAGAAAGAAGCTGCAGCATGGAAAAGCAAGGCTAGTGCAGATAAAAGAGAGGTGGTGAAGCTGCTGGATAGAATCTCCATGTTGAAATCGAGTTTAGCAGGTAGAGATCATGAGATCAGGGATTTAAAGACAGCACTGTCTGACGCAGAAGAGAAGATTTTCCCGGAGAAGGCACAGGTCAAAGCCGAGATAGCAAAGCTGTTGGAAGAAAAAATACACCGGGATAACCAGTTCAAAGAGCTGGAAGCCAATGTGCGTTATCTTGAAGATGAGATAAGAAGGGTGACCAATGAGAAAATAGAAGAGGAGGAAAAGCTGAAGGGCGAAATCGAGGTGCTGACACTGGAAAAGGTAGAGAAAGAGAGATGCATAGAAACGTTAAACAAAAAGGTGAGTGAGCTAGAGTCAGAGATAACTCGACTTGGAAGTGAAATAAAAGCGAGAGATGATAGGACAATGGAGATGGAGAAGGAGGTAGAGAAGCAGAGGAGGGAACTAGAAGAAGTAGCAGAAGAGAAGAGGGAAGTGATAAGACAGCTCTGTTTTTCACTAGACTACTCCAGAGACGAATGCAAGAGACTACGCATAGCCTTTTCAGGGTATCGACCAACAGCACCATCATCCATTCTTGCTTCTTAATTCTTATGTATAGTATACTCTTTGTAACTTTGTTGGTGATACTTTCACATATAGGGAGCTGTTTTGAGATCGGTTTGGAAAAAAGAAAAAGAAAAAGGCTCATAAGATTTGTGAACAGTTTGTGTTTGATTTTAGCTATGCATTATATAGTTTTGAGTTCTGAAACTGGAATAAAGCAGAGGATTGTTTCAAGTGTTTACAAATACTGCTGTATATGACTTTTGGAGCATTGCTCAAGTAAAATCACATACAGATGCATGTAAATAAGAAGAAAGAGTTTCATTTTCTTATTCTGAACAACAATCATAAGTAATGTGGCTGTGCTCTGTACAGCTAACAACCCGGAAGAGAATGCTTACTTGAGATGTTCAACGTCCTGCAAAAATCAAACTTCCCCAGGAAGCATAGTATCTACCGGACCAAGATCACAGTAGGCGATGCCCTGAAACACACATCCATGAAACAACTAAGGTTAGCTTCTATTAAAATGGTTTTGTTTGAATAGACAAGATAGATACATACCTCTCCAGTGAGGTGTGCAACACATCTCTTCTCAGCCAAGAGTTCTGCTTCCGACTGCAATATTTTCATGTCTCAGTTAAACTTCTAGATTTAGATACAAAACCTGAAAAAGACTAATCTCTAAGAAGGCTATACCTTGGCGATTCGTTTACGAAGGTAGTCATCAATTTCTACATCCTTGACAAGTTCATAATCTCCATCTCCCTGGCAGCAAACACAATTTTGAGACTTACCACTAGAGAAAGGTTTTTAGGTATAAGGATAGAACATACCTTAGACCGGCATGGCATACTGAAGACGAGGCCCTCTTCAATACCATAGGGATTTCCATCCGTGTACACCTAAAAATTCCATTAACACAACCCTATTTAAAATTTGAACCAATCTATCTTGTTGTTATCCAAATGAGTGTAAAAGAAGATGTACCCCAGACGAAAACCAATCACCCTCAGGAGTAGGAGTTACAAGAGATTTTATAGCATCAACAATGGAAACAGCAGTAGAAGCAGCAGAAGATCGACCCCATTTCTGAATTAATAACCCACCTCTCTGTAAAACAAACGCAAACTTACTCAGCCAATGCCAAACATTAAATCTCATTGCAGAAATCATTACATTATCCGAGGAAACGGCATCTTACCTTCTGCACACTCTCAGTGAATCCCTCTTCTAACCACTTGTGATCTGTAATAACCTCCTTCACAGGCAGGCCATTAATTCTGGCATTTAAGAAGTCTGGAACCTGATTCACCTCTAAAAAATAAGAGAAACATCCCAAGATATAGGGAGATAATAGATGACAGTAGAGCAAGATAAGACAAACCTGAGTCGTGGAGTGATTTCCCCATATGGTCATATTAGACACTTTGTCATAGAAGACTCCGGCTTTAAGAGCAAGCTACAAAATGGAAATTGTCAATCATATGTATGCAAATATGTTGCATACAATCACATATAAGAGTGAAATCTAGTACCTGGCATTTGGCACGATTTTCGTCTAACCTTGTGAGGGCATGGAAGTTCTTTGCAGGAATGTTGGGAGCATTTTTAAGACAAATCAAGGCACTGAAAGAACACAAGATGAGAAAAAAGTATACTTACGATGTTCGTCACTGATTACGATATGAAGAGGTTTGAATTACGGAATGTAGCTTACTTGGTGTTGCAAGGGTTTCCCACTACAAGAACCTTGACGTTAGGAGAGGCAGCTTCGTTAAGAGCTTTGCCCTGCTCAGCAAAGATTTGGCCATTGATGTCCAACAAGTCAGCACGTTCCATTCCAGGGCCTCGAGGTTTTGCACCGATCAGAATAGCCCACTCCACATCTTGGAACACTTCATTTGGATCTGTTCCTATATCAACTTCTCTCAACAGTGGGAACAATGAATCCTCTAGTTCCATTGCAACACCTTCAAGAGCTTGGATCGACCTCTCTGATCCTAGCAGCTTCAATGCAATGGGTTGATCTGGACCAAATACTTCCCCTGAAGCAAGCTACACACCCGGAAAACCAAAGATACATAAAATAAGACCAATGATTGGTAACCTTATCCTATAAAACAGTAACTTAAAAAAAGGATTAACTTACTTTGAAGAGAAGGTGGTTAGAAATCATTCCTGCAGCACCTGAAACTGCAATATTGATTAACTTCTTCCATGATCTTGTCTCTTCTTCCTGGAAAACATAAAAAATTTGATAACTCAAGATCAAAGACGATTCCAGATTTTGATAACAACATTTATGCAAAATATTATTACGTGAAGCAGAGGATTTTCTCCATTCCCAAGTCTCAAGATAAGATTTTTTTAAAAGAAAAATAGTAAAGAGGAATAGAAAGATACAGCTTTAAGATCATAGGTGAGGCAGAACACTCCATAACACTCTTTCTTCGTCTTCACCAATCCATTTTCTTGAACCGCAACAGGAGCTTGGCTACTTTTTTCATAAATTCACAAAAGCATCTAAAATCAGATAAAGTCGAGTTTTTTAAGAGAGAATAAACGATTAGGAGCTTAAAATAGACTTACTTCTGAGAAACGGAGCAAGAGATTTTGGAGTTGGGAGTTGTTGTGTGGAGAGGTGGAAGAAGAAGTTGGCGAAAGTGGTTTGAAAGATGCAATTTTGAAGAGAGACGAAGCCGAGACGAAGAGTTGAGAAAAGGCGACGTCGTTTTGGGGGTGGAGAGCTCTGCCATGGCCATTATCGCACAGACACAGACTGTGAAAGTGAGATATCAGAACTGGAACAATGGAGAGAGAGCGCGCCAAGCGACAGAGTAAGAAAGAGAGGATTGGGGAATCTATGGATAAGGCTCAGCTCTTGACACTTGTCACTCTTTTAGCATCCACACCGTTTATCTTCTTTGACTTTAGGCCCAATTAAAGGCCCATTAACATAATATATCTGAAACCGTTCGAATTCAATCACTGATCGGAGCTTTTCGTCTTCTCCGGCGACATTGCATCCGCTGACCAAAAAAATAAAGTTTGTAACTTTGACCGCGAAAGTTTCAAAAATGGAAGTCATTGATCAATGGGTTGCTGAATTTATCCTCCGTCGACAACATAATCCTAGGATTGCCCCTATTAATCTGATTTCGGCTCTGCAATTGGGTGATTCCTCTGACTGCATAAACCTCAAGGTATCTTCTGTCTTGCGGGATATCTCCAATTCATTGATCCGAGGTACGATCGATGAGGGAATGCTTGACCTCCTCGAGATTCTTGAGAAGCTTCTCTTGCAGCAACATTCGCTACTCATGGAGTCTCACAAGTCTGCTTATTCCTGGACGGCTGCTGAGTGTACGCTTAGATTTATGTGGCCAATGTTTGCTTCGGATGGTTTGTTCACCGAGGCTCTTGAGAGGATATGGACGAAGAGGATTGGGATTTTGAAGGAGAGTGGTAGCAATTTGGTGACTCATGACTTGTTGAAATGGGAGACTGATTTTAACAAGGCCCTTGAGGAACCTGAGCTCTATCAGCGAATTCGTGAGAGTAACATCAGGTACACTGCCATTTCCTTTCTTACTCAGCTTCTCAAAGAACAATGGGCATTACTTGGGAGTTCCTCTCTTGAATCGGTAGCTCAAAGAAGGTTTCTTAAGCGCAAGACTGTGAACGTAGAGGGTGATGTTGTTGACAACAGAGGGGATCAAAGTGCTGTTGATGAAAGCACGAGGCGTTTGGAGAGTGACACCGTTGATGTTATCAACGAGCAGCGTGGAGGGGAGGACAGGAATGGGATTAATAGAGAGAACGCTAATGATGGTGAAAGAATGGAATGTCCAGAGAATGATGGGATTGATAATGGGAATGCAGCAGACGAGGAGCACACAATGGGTGCACAAGAACAGGAACATGAGCCAAGTCTTGATAAGGGAGACAAAACGGTTGCTCGAGAGCTGAAGGATTATTTGTTAGAGATTCAAAGACACATCGACCCTTCCATTAGGCGAGGGGAAGAACCTAACACTGCAATTAATCACTCAGTAGATGTCACTCCTCAGCCTACTCGGGTGAATAGGACTGGAACACGCGGTCAAGACCATAATGAAGCAACGGTAAGTGTTAGAGAATTTTACCTTAAGATGCTTTCTAAAAGTCTTGTTCTTTAGGTCATGAATTTTTGGTTTAATTGTGAAGCAGCAGGATAATGTAAATGAGAAAGGTTCAGATAGTCAGGGAACATGGTCTAGCAGAATTCGGCCTCGTCTACCAACCCCAGTTCCTCTGAATGTATCTCCGTTGAAGATGGGCGGATTGGCGAAACCCCATGTCAGGAGGCCAAAGAAATTCTGGACGCCAGAAGAAGTGGAAGCTCTGAGGGAAGGAGTAAAAGAGTATGCAAACACTCTTTGCCTAGCCCCTTACTCTATTATCAATATTCACTAGTGATACATCTAGGGCCTCATTAAGATTATAGCACTGTCATTTTGTTGTTGTTGTTGTTGTGCAGGTATGGTAAATCATGGAAAGATATAAAGAATGGAAACCCTGCACTATTCGCGGAGAGGACAGAGGTGAGCATTTCCTTTCAAAATTCATACTCACCATTTACTTGGACAAGATATATACGAAGTGTGAGTGATATCAATGTTGTAACTTGATAGGTGGATTTGAAGGATAAATGGAGGAACTTAGTCGGTGGGTAGAGGTAACATCTTTTGTGAATCTTGTGCTATAGGCTTTTAAAATGCTGTAGAGTTATTTACTTTTGTGACATATCAACTGTGGAGAACATGGTGGAGATAGGGCCATTTCACATGTTGTGTAGTGAATGATAATCATGAATGAGCAGAAATATGCAGAATATAATGATATGCTTGTGGGAAAAATTCTGGCTGCGACCTCTGTTGTCAGTCAGTGTCAAACTTATACGGCTTTTCTTGTTTCGGATATATTCCATCCTTATCTTCAATTCCTACCATTCTTCTCTCTCTCTCCTTTTCCACGTGTCAACTAACATCTAAACCAGAACAAAACACTAGTCAAAATATGCATATAATCATTTTGATCTATGATATAGCCTGTTAACATTGAGACCCTCCTTAGATATTGCCTGTTAACATTTTAGACCCTCCCTAGATAAAAAGCTAAGTAAGATGATGTGAGCTCTCATGCACATACTTAATTGGTTAATGCATATTTGTTATGTGTTGTTAGTTTATTACAGAACCGTGAACTCCTTGAGGGCTGCAGGAACTGGCTGCCAACAAAAAAAAAACAATTGTTCAGCGGTGATGTCACTATCACTCTATTCTCTACAACTTCTTGTCATGTTCCCCACTTCTGTTCTGACTTTTCCCCTTTTCTTTGTCATTTTATTTTTGTTAACCTCAATCTATTTTGGATTGCTTGTGTTCACCAAACTAATAATTGGTTCAATTGAAAAATGTGCAGTTTCCTCAAGAAACAAAACTCTTTCCTCTATATCGCATTTCCTAGTATCCACACTTTCTTAACTCTTATCCTCTTTGCAATTGTGTTTGTGGTTCACAAAATAAACCAGGGCATCTTTTTTTATCTTTTGAGCATATTTTGCTATGTTTTTCAATGTGGTACACGTTTGATGATTTTTTTTCAATGCTGTGGCTTGAGTATTTTTATTGGCAAGTAAGTTTTGTCAAACTTTGGATTTTTTGAATTACTACAATGCGGTCAATAAAAATAAATATATGGTTTTCTATAATATATGTGATGCAAGCAAGGTTAAGGCAATTGTCTTTATTCATTTTATCCCAACTGGGTGATTGACGCCAACGACTGTTCAACATATTTTCTGCTGACGCTTCTTTAATGAAGTAGCAAGAAGAAAGTAAATAGGACGACTTTTGGCCACCAGAAGTATCTCTGTTTTAAGAACGAAAGTCTGTGTCCTCTTAAACATTTCTGGGATCATCAATTGGTTTTTGGTCAACCATGAATATGAATCAAGTTGCAGAGTATGTCGAAACTGATCCAACTGGTCGCTATGGACGTGTAAGTAAGGAGACAGACTCTATGTTCATGGATCAAAACCTTTTTGTAACACTTGGTTTTATGGTGGCACAGTTTGCAGAAATTCTTGGAAGGGGAGCGATGAAGACAGTGTACAAAGCAATCGATGAGAAGCTGGGAATAGAAGTAGCATGGAGCCAGGTGAAGCTTAAAGAGGTTCTGCGTTCATCTGTTGATCTACAGAGGCTTTACTCCGAGGTTCATCTCCTCAGCACTCTCAACCACAAATCTATCATTCGTTTCTACACTTCCTGGATTGATGTTCATAACCATACTCTCAACTTCATCACCGAGTTGTTCACTTCTGGGACCCTCCGACAGTAAATTGCTTAAACCTCTTCTTCTGACAAGATTATTCAGCTTTTTATAATGACCCTGTCCCGTTCATATGCAGATACAAAAATAAGTACTTGCGGATAGATATCCGAGCAATCAAGTCCTGGGCTCGGCAAATCTTGGAAGGGCTTGTTTATCTCCACGGACACGACCCTCCTGTTATCCATAGAGACCTCAAGTGTGATAATATCTTTGTTAATGGCCATCTTGGACAAGTCAAAATTGGTGATCTTGGTCTTGCAAGAATGCTGCGGGACTGCCATTCTGCACATAGTGTCATCGGTACCTTGTAAAAATCCTTTGTTCTCACTTCTTCTCCACATTATAAGACCTCTTCGTGCTTCTTTTGCGTAGGCACTCCGGAGTTCATGGCTCCAGAATTATATGAGGAGAACTATAATGAGCTCATTGACGTTTATTCCTTTGGTATGTGCTTTTTGGAGATGATCACTTCTGAGTTCCCGTATAGTGAGTGCAACAATCCGGCGCAAATTTACAAGAAAGTTGTCGCGGTATGTCTTTCGATCTGTGAGCATATAAATGCAGCTATCAGTTGAACCAGGCATGAGCCTTCTAATGTTTTCTTCCAGGGAAAGCTACCAGGAGCCTTTTACAGAGTTGGAGACATCGAGGCACAGAGGTTCATCGGGAAATGCCTCGTGTCTGCCTCAAAGAGAGTATCAGCAAAAGAACTATTGCAAGATCCATTTCTTGCCTCTGATGAGTCCTGGATGGTGTACGCGAGTGGTGCTGGGAATCCAAAGCCCTTCTTGAACGAGAATGAAATGGACACACTGAAGTTGGAAGATGATGAGTTAAAGACACAGATGTCCATCGCTGGGAAGCTTGGCGCTGAAGATAACAAAATCGATCTGGAAGTACAAATCGCATATGATAATGGTAAAAGGGATTAATTTGATGAGCTGGTCATTTTGTTATTCGGTCGCATAATTGTTTCTTTCTTTCCAGGTCTGGCAAATAATGTGTTCTTTCCCTTTGACATCATGAATGATACTTCCATTGATGTTGCAAAGGAGATGGTAAAAGAACTCGAGATTATAGATTGGGAGCCAGTCGAGATTGCTAAAATGATTGATGGAGCGATTTCTTCTTTGGTGCCTGGTTGGAAGTATGAGGAAGATGATGAAACCCCTCATGATCATCATCGTAATCGTACCGATCCTTTCCACTCTTCTTCCTCGCACTCGTCATCTTCCCAAGCTTCACTCTCTAACTATATGGCACGAGGCCTTCAAGATTGGGGACAAGGTATGGAAAGTAATACCAGTCTCAACGTACAGTGTGTGACAGATGTTTATATAAAAGTTTTTGAGATAAAAATTAAAACTGCAGATGATTTACACGATGAGACGTATTCTCAGAGTTCTTCCCATTCAGGGTCTTACTCCAACCTCAACTACATAGCTGTTGATGAGCACAGCTCCCAATCTCCTGCTATGAGCAGAACTCACAACTTGACGAGGTTTTGCCCCGAAGAAAGCTCTCATCTGCAGTCAGGACAAGCCAACGCGTATGCAGCTTCCAGTTCAATTAACAGAAGCTTGGCTTCAGACAACCGCACACTTACAAGGAACCGATCACTTGTAGACGTGCAGAGACAGTTACTGCACCGGTCGCCAGGGGAAGAGGCTAGAAAAAGAAGATTGTTCAAAACTGTTGGAGACGTAGAAACAGTTGGGTTTCAGTCGCCTTATGCGGTTTCACGTAAGCCACCAAGCTCAAGACGCTAGCTTCTCCAGTATTTTAATTACTGTAAATTTATTCATGTAATATATAAGTATACTGTGAGAAAGAAGTTTGCTGGTTCAAAAATGTAAAAAGTTCATTGTGTTTAATAAAGTTGTGCAAAGGCTGCGTCTGTGTTACAGAGAAAGAGTCCTCAGGTGAAATGAGTAAAACGTAACCATCTATACCAGAACAAAACAGTAGTCAAATATGCATAACATAACCATTTTGATCTATGATATAGCCTGTAAGATGATGAGAGCTCTCATGCACATATATGTACTGGTTAATGCCATATTTGTTATGTTATTAAATTATTAGATATATCACAAAAACATATATGTTATGTGTTAATGAAAATTTAGCTGACATTGAAGGATAGTTGAAAGTTTCTAGGTACGGTCTTGTCAGTGCAAGTGATAGATGAGCTTCAAGGTAGATGCATTGTAATTCAAGCCACAGAGAAACGCCATGTAGTCTGATTTGCCTAATTAATAGACAAGTCCTGGATTTAAAGCTGCTATTGGGTCGACATGTCCAACTCCATAAGAAAATTCGGTCGATGCAAACCCAGACTCAGTAGCATTCATCGGCCAAGCTGCAAAGTGTAGTTAAAAGACTGAATAAGAGCAGAGTTATCAGCATAAATGTTACTTGCGGGACAAGAAAGTAAAAGATGGATATGACTTTTGTTTACCGGTTGATACCATTCAGGATGAAATGTCTTGGGGTAAGCAGCCACGCCTGCAACGTGTGGACAAGCCATTGATGTTTCTGAGGTAACAGAGTAGTTCACACGTCATTTGTCCCACTTTTGTGAAGATTGGGAAACCAAAGGTAAACAAGCAGCGAGGATTTCCACTCTTGGGGCTGTTATATCCGGCTGCAATTCAATCAACCATTGTCTCTCAAACCGGGAAACAAAAGGGAACTAACCAATTGAAAAATTGTAATTAGCCAAACTTGTATGTCAAGGATCTAATAAAAGCCCAAAACTACAAAAGCTCAAAAACTTATTTCTATATATATATAACTCAGTCTAGGGTTTTCGTCCTCCAATATTTCTATCGAAAACTTAGCAGTCGCTCTTCCCTTCTCATCTTATATTCTCCATGGGCGAGAGGCTTTTGAAATGCTCCACATCCACCGATGTAATCCTTTTCTCCTAATGACCTTCTTCCTTACTCAGTCTTTTACTCAGACTGAACTTTAATATTGTTTCGGATTTTTTTATCTAGGTTGAAGCTACCACAGAGCCGTCGCAGAATGGTAAGATCTTGATTGCTATACTCTCTTTTTCTTTTTTGTTCTTGGTTTCGTTTTATGCATTCTATAATTGAAGAAAACCGGTATATATTGTCTTGCAATCTTGATTATATGAATTATAAGTCTGATTATAGGTTGTTTGATATTTGTATATATGTCTTATTTAGAAGAACACCTGCTTATATGGATTTGTGTTATTTATTTTTATTTCTGAGAAAGCTCCAGATGATTTGGAGCAGCAAGTATTTCCGAAGAAGCAAAAAAAGGTAATATTATCTTAAGCTTTTGTACCTTTTTATTGAATTCAGTAGTACTTTTAAGAGCTTTGTATTTTCTTATAAACCAGAAAATATTAACCTACTATTGAAAATGTCTTTGTTTTTGATCCAAAATAAAAAAGGTGGAAGAATATAAATGCATTTTCGAAAATAAATCTGCATATGGACACAGTCACAGAAGCATTCTCGTTCAGGGATTAGATTGTTCCCTTCCTGTGGCTGATATCAGGAGCGCATTGAGAAAACACTTCGGTTCATGTGGACATATCTTAAGTGTTTTTGTTCCGACAGAGTGTAAAACCGGTTCTCTCATCGGGTTTGTGACTTGTTCCTCCAATTTAATTTGACAACTTGAAGTTAAATGCAATCTAAATTTTTTACTTTTGTTTTTGTTTTCAGGTGCGCTCTCATTAAATACTATAATCCAAATGATGAAAAGAAGGCATTAGCACTCGATGGTAGTTTCTTGGGAGGTAGGCAGCTTGGGGTTGTGAAGAATAATACTGGAAGCAGTTCTGATTTCTTTCCTAACTTTAAAGGGTGTGAACGTTGTGTCCTTACTCAAAGGAAGTACCTCCATGACCAATTCATTGCAACTCGTGGTGGTCGTATGATGGCCAAGTACGTTTATTTGTTCTTGATTATTGAACCCTAGTTAAAGAAGGTAACTGGTCATTATATAGTTGTTATTTTTTGCTCCTGATATTGCAGGCCACCTAATTGGATCCTTGCTAAATGGGGCCTCGCTTTAACGGAAGAAGTTGAAGCAGAAAAACAGAGCTAAGAATGGTCGTTTTACTGTTGTTTATCGACAAGCTACTACTTGTTTATCTTCTTATGTTTTATAAGAAAACTTGTATTATGTGGACTCTTGCTGCTATTTAGTTTCATAATTTATGCCTAAATCAAATGTTGAACTTATATTATGAAATTACATTTTTAAGTTGAAAATTCAATTACTTATAATCGACTTAATGAGAACTTTGACCTAATTTGCTGATTGGGCGGTTGCGATCTATAGTTGTTTGGTAGGTATCTGTTATGTCTTCATTCCTACCTGCAGGTAGGATACTTTTGTATCTACCCAAGTTCTCCATTGATTTCTTTTTGCCAAGAATTGTTGCGCTTCTCCCTCGAGTCAACAAATGTAAACCACGTTGTTTATTCTCTTCTTACATTGGTCGCACTTGTTTGTTAATGACACGTGTTTGTCACTCTTCCGACATTCGAACCGTTAATCATCTTTGTCTTCCAGGCCCAACTAACTGTCCATTTTCAGAATATATCTGAAACCGTTCAGTGATTGAGAGTTTTTCCTTATCTCCGGCGACATTGCATCACCGTAACTCATGACTTGTTGAAGTGGGAGACTGATTTTAAGAAGGCCCTTGAGGAACCTGAGCTCTATCAGCGAATTCGTGAGACTAATATCAGGTACACTGCCATTTCCTTTCTCACTCAGCTTCTCAAAGAACAGTGGGCATTACTTGGGAGTTTCTCTCTTGAATCAGTTTCTCAAAGAAGGTTTCTTTTAGGCAAGGCTGTGAACGTAGAGGGTGATGTTGTTGAAAACAGAGGGGGCTGGGGGGGACGAGTCGCGTGGTGAAAGGGAGGACGTTAATGGGATTGATAGAGAGAACGCTACTGATGGTGATGGAATGGAATGTCTGGAGAATGATGGGATTGATAATGTGAATGCAGCAGAGGAGGAGCACACAATGAGTGCACAAGAACAGGAACATGAGCAAAGTCTTGATAAGGGAGACAAAATGGTTGCTCGAGAGCTGGAGGATTATTTGTTAGAGATTCAAAGACACATCGACCCTTCCATTAGGCGAGGGGAAGAACCTAACACTGCAATTAATCACTCAGTAGATGTCACTCCTCAGCCTACTCGGGTGAATAGGACTGGAACACGCGGTCAAGACCATAATGAAGCAACAGTAAGTGTTAGAGAATTTTACCTTAAGATACTTTCTAAAAGTATTGTTCTTTAGTTCATGAAGGTTTGGTTTAATTGTGAACCAACAGGATAATGTAAATGAGAAAGGTTCTGATAGTCAGAGAACGTGGTCTGGCAGAGTTCGGCCTCGTCTACCAACCCCTGTAACTCTGAATGTATCTCCATTGAAGAAGGACGGATTGGCAAAACCCCATGTCAGAAGGCCAAAGAAATTCTGGACGCCTGAAGAAGTGGAAGCTCTGAGGGAAGGAGTAAAAAGAGTATGCAAACACTCTTTGCCTAGTCCAGTACTCTATTATCAATATTCATTAGTGATATATCTAGGACCTCATTAAGATTATAGCACTGTCGTTTTGTTGTTGATGTTGTTGTGCAGGTATGGTAAATCATGGAAAGATATAAAGAATGGAAACCCTGCAGTATTCGCGGAGAAGACAGAGGTGAGCATTTCCTTTCAAGATTCATACTCACCATTTACTTGAACAAGATATCTGCGAAGTGTGAGTGATACCAATTTTGTAACTTTATATGAAGCTTGATGGTAGTTACTTGGGAAGTATGAAGCTTGAGGTTGCGATGGATAATACTAGAAGCGGTTCTGATATCTTTCCTAACTTTAAAAAGTGTGAACGTTGTGTCCTTGTTCAAAGGAAGCGCTTCCATGACCATTTCGTTGCAACTAATGGAGGTCTTAGGATGCCCAAGTACGTTAATTTGTTCTTGATTATTGAATCCTAGTTAAGAAGGAAACTTGTCATTTATTTGTTGTTTTCTTTTTGCCCTGATATTGCAGTTTAGCTGTTTGGAAAAAATATAAAGCTAAAAAAGTTGAAGAAGAAAAACGGAGCTAAGAATGGTCGTTTTGACTGTTGTTTATCTACAAGCTACTACTTGTTTATCTTTTTATGTTCTATAAGAAAACTTGTATTATGTGGACTCTTGCTGCTATAATTTATGCTTAAATCAAATGTTGAACTTATATTATGAAATTACATTTTCAAGTTGAAAATTCAATTACTTATAATCGACTTAATGAGAAGTTTGACCTAATTTGGCTAATTGGGCGGTTATAATTGATCTATAGTTGTTTGGTAGGTAAGGACGGAAACTATTATGTCTTCATTCCTATCTGCAGGAATCAATATTTCTGTATCTTCCCAAGCATTGTTGTCTAGTTGAGATTCTCCTCCATTGATTTCTTTTTGCCAAGAATTGTTCTCGAGTCCTCATGTGAGATGAGTCAAATGTTAGTTTGAGACGTAGAAACAGTTGGGTTTCAGTCGCCTTATGCGGTTTCACGTAAGCCACCTAGCTCAAGTCGCTAGCTTCTCCGGTATTTTAATTACTGTAAATTTATTCATGTAAAATCTAAGAATACTGTGAAAAACAAGTTTGCTAGTTCAAAAATGTAAAAAGTTACATGTGTTTAATAAAGTTGTGCAAAGGCCTGCGTTTGTGTTACAGAGAGAGTCCTCAGGTGAGGTGAGTCAAATGTAACCATGTTTTCTCGAAAGCCTTGATGATAACATCATGATACTCGCTCGAATTCAGTGAAAGGTAACATGCGAGAAGATCTTCCAGGTCTTTTTGTTCCCTCATCTTGTTTTCCATGATCATCTCAACCATGGATTCTCTGAAATCTTTCTCAGGATCCACTGAAGACAGAACTATGGCGAAACTCTTTACAGTCCCCTTCTTCTTCGATACCGGCGTATTTCCCTTTGTCTTCTTTCTCGCGATCTTGGGAGAGTTTGACCGAATCTTTATCCCTGTCGAACGAGCATTCGGTTTCTTCAGATCCTGCTGTGTAATCATCTTAAAGGGTGGTTCCTTTGCAGTCTCAACCTGAAGAGGACTCAAGTTTGGTGAGAATGAAGGATCTTCAGATACATCATCAAGCTTCTTCACAGAGCGGTCGTCCTTAATGTCAATTGAATGCAGTTCAGGATCATGGTAAAATTTTTGGTCAGAAGGAGATGATACACGATCTAAGGAGCTTCCAACGACGGAATCAGAGATTGAATTTGCAGAGGATGATGATTTAGAACGATGATTTAGAGAAGAAGATGTAGAGAGCTTGAGCCTTGAGGAAGGCTTGTAAATGGTTTTACGTTTGATTTTTCTCTTGAAAGAAGAAGATTTTGGAGGTGAATTAGAAACTTGAGGATGATTAGCAGTCGAAGAAAGACGTCGATGAGGGTCACGGAGCTTTCTTGAGGAAGAAGCATCAGCGGAAGAGAGGTGTTTAGGAGAAGAAGGATGGTGTTTTCTGCTACTTCTACTCATCCCTTTGAGCTTATAGATCCATGAATGAGGCATAATGTCTGAAAATCTGAACTTGTGAGTCCCCATTTTCTGATTCATCTCTTTCATTTCTCAAAGTTTTTTTTGAGTTCTGTCAAAAAAAGAAAGAAAGAAATGAAGTTAAAGATAAACTAAAGGGATTAAATCTGAATCTAGAGGGTCCATCCACTCTCTTCTTTTCTTATGCTTTGTCTCTTTTACAACAGATAAAGAGGTTAATCAAAGAAAAAGGGTTTAATTGATTTGGTTCTTTGAAGCATTCAAAAGCAATGAGTGGCTTCCATGTCAAGACTAGCATTTCTTTTGTAATGGGTAATGACAATCATTATTATGTCCCCCAAATCTCACCTCTCTTCATTTCACAATCAAGAAATTTTTTAAGAAACAAACAAACAGAGATTTATGAACTTTATATAGTTCACTTAACCCAGTTAATTGTGGTCGGATCGGGTAATCATGGATCCCACAATTATGACGTGGATTCCACACTCTCTTTGGTGAAAAGTTTCATTGACTTAAGTGATTTTTTAAATCTGAAGTATTTGTAATTTTTAATGTTTTATAGGAACCATCTCCATTTTCTAATTGATCTTCGAGTAGTTTGGAACCTGAGTTTGAAGGTTTTGTTGAGACATTGAAACTTTGTCCGAGAAATTTGGCTTAGAAATTACCAAAGATCATATGTAAGTAGTAAGCAGCATATTCACTACATATATATCTTCTTTCTTTTTTAATGGTCTAACAACTATCCTTTTTTTGCAACAAAAAATTAATAATTTTGAATTCTTTGCCAAAGCTAAGGTGAAACTCAAAAGAGAAATGCAAGACAATGATTTTGTTCCACTCTCTCACAGACAAACAATAGATGATTTAAGTTGTCATTTCATTACTTAATATTTCTTTTTCTTTCAAACAACATATTGATTTTTTTTTTTTTAGTACTTAGGCTATGAAAATGAAAGGGGAGTATTTCTGTGGAGGTCATGTTTATGAGTTTATCTTACAAGGTAAACATTTTCTACTTTCTATTCTTTTAAATTTGCATTTGTAATTTTAAAATTGTAGCGTTTATCTGAATTTATGGATCATCTACGCTATAGTGGTAAGTTATCTAAAATATTGAATTTAAATGAAAAATATCCTAAAGTTGTAAACTATTTATCAACACTAATACATGTTCTCACATACAGCTAGAAATATCAAAGAGATTATTTTTTGAACATAGGTTGTTTATTTGTTTATTTTTCTCTCTATACCAATATTTTTTAGAAATGCAAAACATTTTGATGGATAATGATAAATTTGAGAGAATTTGTTTTCTTTTTTTTCAACATTAAATATCAAACAGAATATAAAATCTCAATTCATTCCAAAGAAATTTGAGAGATTAAAAAAAAAATTGTACAAAAAATCTCCCGAGTTATAGAATGATTATGGAAGGTGTTAATTCTTGCTTTCTAATATCATGAATACGATTGGACAAAATGAAAAATATTATGTCTTTCATGCTAAAACATCTGAAATATATGAAGATTCATCATAGTTTCAAGACAGCTAGTGGAGAAAATTTTGAAGATTTTTTTAGAGGATTTACTCTCTTTCGGAAACTAGGTTCATATACGGAAAGATCTTAAAAAGCCAATGTTAATAAAAGCCCATCTTAAAAACTATAAAACCTTGGTCGAAAACAGAAAATCTAGCGGCCGCTGTTCTTTGAGGTCCATGGAGAACGATGATCAAGCAAAGAAGAAACAAATACTCTCACATCTGGAACGTAAGTTGGCTGCTATAATCAATATAATAAAGACTACAAAAAAAAGTCTTCATTAATAGCACATGACAATAGCACGGTTTGTTGAATTGCTATTAAAGATAGATTTGCTATTTTCGTAACTTTACGATAGCATTTTATTAACGCTAAACCAAAATTTTCACTAAGCGGGATTTTTAGAGCCTAATTTTTATCAAGAACGCAAATACTTACGAAAAAAAAAAAGAACAGATCTCTCGAAAGAAAAAATATCTCTCTCGCTCTCTCTCATATCTAAATCCTTCGTCGATCTCTAATGGCAGCACCATCACAAGCGCATCTTTACCTCGCAAATCTCTCTCTATTCTCTCCTCTCTCAGATCTGAATCCTTAGTTTCCAATCTCTAATGGCAGCACCACCAACAAGCTCATTTTTACCTCGCAAAAATCTCTCTATATCTTCTTTCTCAAATCTAAATCCTTAGTTTCCGATCTCTAATGGCAGCACCACCAACAAGCTCATTTTTCTTTTCGACAGCAATCTTCTTCGAGTAGTTTGGAACCTGAGTTTGAAAAGTTTTACTCGGTGACAATCGTAAAGAACATATATAGCCTTCTAAATACTTTAATATATCTACTAACCGCTTCTTTTATTAATGTTATGTCTTCTTTAAATATTCTTTCATTAATATTTAATAGTAAACAAATATCTCAACCATTACACAATTTTTTTTTTTTTTTTTTAACGAACTTACCATTTAATAGAAGGCCCAAAAGCTTGGAAACCTAGAAATACACAGTGTCTCCTATAAGAGTAACACCTACAAACACACATACAAACAAACACATAGAAATTAGAAAGTTGCGAAATACATTTTTAAAGAAATTATAAA